TTATTAGTAATTTGTATTCTACAAAGCCTTTAGGTTAATTTTGATGAACTTTAAGTGTCTATCTGCTATGTGCCAAGCATTATACCACATGGAATCTTCATTTCTTTAAATATTCTGAACCAGCCTTCTCACTTTTTTTTCCTTTTAAAATACAATTTTAAAAAATCTATCTGGGGCTAATGAAGATAATATGTAGTAGGAAAATTGTTACTATCAGTGCAGTACTGTGGGTTGTACCTTTGTCACCCTTTGTTCTCACTACCCATCTCTTTTTCCAGTCATATATGTCCTTGGCAATGTCTTTGAAGCACTTTCTTTTAGCAGGTCATAGTGGCAATAGGTTAAAAACCTACTTATACATATCATGTATTTTCCATTTCCATTAGGTTCCCTTGCAATTTGGATTCTTCTGAGATTTGGTTGTTCCAAGATTTGTCCCAATTCAATATGAACCTTTTTAATAGTAAGCAGTTTGGGATTATTGAAAATATCCTATATTTTCCTAAATGTGATCTAATCTGCTTTCTTCCTACTACTCTATCTGGGCTCTCCACATTGTCAGTCCAAGATTTATGTCCTGATGGCTTAATTTAGGTGTGTTACTTATCCAGCTATATGCCTGGCTAATATGTGTTATTAATCTACTTGTTTTTTCCAGTAGATTACTAAGCCATTTTCTTTTGAGTGATTGTGGATTCTATTGATAGGAACTGTGTAGTATCCCTGTAGTGTCTTAGGGCCCAGTGCTATTCAAAGATGACCATATGAAGAACTTTACCTTTGAATGAATGAAGCATTTATTAAGTGCTTGCTATGCAAAGTGCAAAGCACTAGGCTAAGCTCTAGGAATACAAATAGAAAAGTAAGCCTATACCTGCTCTCCTTGGGTAGCTAGGTGGCACAGTGGATAAAGTGCTAGGCCTGGAGTCAGGAAGACTCATGTTCCTGAGTTCTAATCTGACCTCAGACACTTACTAGCTGAGGGACCCTGGGCAAGTCATTTAACCCTATTTGCCTCAATTCCTCATCTGTAAAATGCATTGGAGAAGGAAATAGCAAACCACTCAAGTATCTTTGCTAAGAAAACCCCCCAAAAACCCAAAACGTGAAGAGTTGAAATGACTGAACAATAAATTCCTGCTCTTTCTGAAGAGGAAAGAAGACATATAAATGGCCTCTATTTTTTTTTTCTCAATAAAGGCTAAGTGAGAAGGGGGAGGAGATGATACAAGAAATCTGAGAAGAGAGGAAATTTGGAATAACCATGATAGAGAGTGTGATAAAGGGTCAACCAAGACAGAACAAAAGAATTATTGTTCAGATATGAAAGCCCAGTAGAGATTAGATAATAAAACTTTTAGTGAATCAGCATGTTTGTGTAACTTTACTGAGGAGCATTCGGCAGTGTGGAACAGAAAAGGAGAAAGCAAGTGTTGGGAGGAATCTAGGGTTAGGATTTGGTTGAGTGTGACTGGAAATAGGATGAGAGAGCAAGGCATTCATGACATTAGGATTGAACTGGTCAACTGTAGGCTTAGTGTTGTCAATGGGGGGAAGAAACAGCAGAGAAGCCAGAGAAATTGTGATGTACTATAAGAACAGAGAGAAATGGAGTACTAGAGGTCATAGTGAAGGTCAGGGAGAGGTGAGTCCCTGCCCACAAGCCCTGGAAGCCCTTTAGTCAGTCAGTCAATCAATCTGTAAACATTTATTAAGCACCTGCTATATGCTAGGTGCTGATAGAAAGAAAGACAAAATAAAGTCACCGCTCTCAAGGAGGGCAGTCTAATGGGGGAGACAGTAGGTAAACAACTATGTCTAGATAAGTTATATAGAGGATGAATTGGAGATAACTAACCGAGGGAAGTCATTAGAATTCAGGGGGATGCGTAAATACTTCCTGCAGAAGGAGGATTTTAGCTGGGTTTTGAAGGAAAGAAGAGAAGCCATGAAGTGGAGAATGAGAAGGGATTCTCATTGTAGGGATGGGGGATAGTCACTGAAAATATTCATAATCAGAAGCTGGAGTACCATGTATGAGGAACAACAAATAGGCCAGTGTCACTGGATCTCAGAGTACAAGGAGGGGTATATATTTACTATAGTGTATATTAAAGTATAAGAAGACTGGAATGGTAGTGGGGAGGGCAAGTTATAAAGAGCTTTGAATATCAAGCAGAGGATTTTATATTTAATCCTGGAGGTGATAGACAATCACTGGAGTTTATTGAGTAGGGGATGTGATATGATCAGACCTGCACTTTAGGAAAATCACTGTGGCAGCTGAGTGGAAGATGGACCGGAGTAGAGGGAGATTGTGGCAAGGTCACCAACCAGCAGACTCTTGCAGTAGACTAGGTGTGAGGTTGTAAGACCCTGCACCAAGGTGATGGCACTATCAGAGGAGAGAAGGGGAAATGTATGAGAGATGTTACAACAGTAAACTAGACAGGCATTAACAGTAGATTGGATATGGGGAGTGGGAGAGACTGACGAGTTGAAGATGGCACCAAGGTTGTGGAAGAATGGTTATACCCTAGACAATAATAGAGACGTTAGGAAGAGGGGAGAATTCAATTTTGGACGTGTTGAGTTTTAGCTGTCTATAGATTCAAAGACACGAATGAAATGGCTTTCAAGGAGCCATGATCAAATCAACTTTACCTTTGTTTCTGGATAGGGTTTTCTTATACTCCCTGATGGCCCCACTTCCTGTCCCTGTATAAAGTTCTCTTCCTTGGCTACTACTCACCCCTTTTTGTCCTCCCCTTCCTCCCATTAGAATGTAAGTTCCTTGAAGACAATTTTTGTTTTGTTTTGTTTTGTTTTCCTAGTGTTTAGCAGACTTGGTTCAGAATAAGCATGTGACAAATGCCTTTTTTTCCTTTTCATTCATATTCATTCCAGGCATAGTAGATAACCTCATGAAAAGTGATGCAGTTTTAGGGGTGCAGGGACCCCAAAACTATTGAGGTACAGAGTGGAATCATCTGGAAAGAATTCACGGACTCAAGCAGTCTTTCAGTCAAGTGGCAAAAGTTTATTATAACAATAATAAAGCAGGTGGAGCTCCTTAGGGAGGTCACAACCTAATGGGTGTGAAACTAAAGCTTATATAGAAAAAGTACAGTACATGGTGTGCCAAGTATGCTAATTAGGTGGTGTGGGGTGGGATTAGGGAGTGGTAGTCAATATCCTGTTTGTACAAGATAGCCTCTGAGTTGATGGCTATAGCTTCATCTCTGGATGAGTGTGGTAACTGTGGGAATCAGTACATGACAGCTCTGTTGGTACAAGACAGTCCTGTTCATAGAAGGGAAATTCTGTAGAGGTCAGCTTGTTTTTTTGGGAGACATAGTTTGCCTCACTGGGGTTCACCCATGATTTATTGCCAGAGATGTGTTTTTTGGTCTGAAGAGAGATATGGTCCCAGGGCTGGGGTCCAAGCACTCCATCAAAAAAGCATAAAGAATGTTGTTTACAAGAAACAGCAAATAATCCAAATTGATGAATATATGAAGAGGAACAATGTGTAATAAGCTTGGAGAGAGAGACTGGAGCCAGATTGTGAGGGGCTTTAACTGCCAAACTGAAGATTTTGAATTTTTTTCTAGTGGCAGTAGAAAACCACTGGACTTTCTTGATCTAGGGAAATCACATAGTCAGATCTGTACTTTGGGAATATCAATTTTGTAGCTATGTGAAGGATGGACTGGAGAGGGGAGATATTGGACATAGGGAAACCAGTTAAGAGTCTATTATAATAATCCAGATGAGACGTAATGAGGGCCTGGGTAACGGTTGTGGGAATAGAGAGAAAAGCATATGTTACCCCTCCAGAAAATATTTATAGATGTTGCAAAGGTAGAATTGACAAGACTTGGCAATTAATTGGATATTGGGGGTGAGGAAGAATGGAGAATGGCTTAAAATAAACTTGGTGATGACAAACCTGGTTGGCTGGAGAGTAGTGGTTTCTTCAACGGAAACAGGGAAGCTAGAGAGACGGGTACATTTGAGGAGAATGTTTTATTTTGGTAATGTAGAGTTTGAGATGCCTATGGGACATCTACTTGGAAATATCCAATAGGCAGTATGATGTAGGACTTGAACTCAGAAGAGACTAAGGTTAGGTACATGGAGTTGGGGTCATTTACTTAATTGAACCCAAGTCAGTTGATAAGATGTGGGTATCTGAAAGTAGGAAAGATTCTTGAGGCATAGCCATAGTTAGGAGGTAGGACATAGATGATGGTTGAGCAAAGGAGTTTGATGCAAATGGCCAGACAGGTAATAGGAGAACCAAGAGAGAACAGTGTCACAAAAACCCAGCAAAGAGTGTATCCAGTGCAAAATGCTGCAGAGAGGTCATGAAGGGTAAGGATAGAATAGAAGCCAAGAAAGACAGATTGTAGGGAGGGGGTAGGGTTGGGATTTGGCTAGGAATGAGAGAAAATAGGACAAGAGTTAGAGGGTAGAAGACAATAGTTAAACAGTGAGAAGGAATGTTGGTTAGGTTAAAAAAAGGAATTTCAGAGGTCTTGATCAGGGAAATGAAACACCTGTGTGTGATGGTACACTAGTGTTTGTGCCTGAGTTGCAGTGAAAATGTGGGTGATGGGAATTATGAAAGTTATAGCACAACAGAATTCCATCACATTTATAGGTCACATTTATTAACCAATGGATGAGCATCCTCTTAGGCCATTTAAGTACCAGTCCTAAAGGAACTTACAATCTCTGATCTTCAGGGCACAGACTTGAGTGGAGAGCATTGCTTGTCCCCTTTATACCTTCTGATGCCTTGGTAAAAGAAGGAGAAAGGAGAAAGGCAACCCTGTCATATCACAGCTGACTGTGGAGTCTGGGCCATATGTGGGGCCTGATTCTCTCTGAGGAAGCCTCAGCTTGGCTGACGTAATTGCAGGGTCTCCAGAGACCTCACAACAAAAGTGTCCAGGGAGGAAGAACTTCTAATGATATCTCTCTTCTCCATTTAGGCAATGATTCAGAATGCAATCAATGGCCACAACATGCACGGAGGACAGGATCCAGCATGCCTTAGAACGGTGTTTGCATGGGCTCAGTGTCAGCCGGGGTACCACCACCTGGACAGGTATCTGTATGGGAAGGAAAGAGGACAAGCAAAAAGTGGGAGTTTGGCTTTGCCTTGTTTCCTACATGAGATCTTACCAACCCTGGGTAAGGGGCTGGGCCAAATCAGAAGGAGCTGAAACTGGAAATGCTCTGTTCATTCTCATTCTCTTCCACATTCTCCTGCTTTTACTCTGAGCTGCTATCTTAGTGCTTTCTCTGGAAGGAGAGATCCTCAGGAAAGAAATTGTGAGGGGTAAGGATACTGAAAATCAACAAAATTCCTAGGAAAAAAAATGTCTATTAAAAAGCCATGGGAAGAATGGGGTTCCACAAGCTTGTGTAATCCAAAAGATACATTTATTTGGAGAATATTCATCCTCTTGGTTCAGCAAATGTACAGGCATAATCGAAGAAGGGAGAGTGGGCTGCTGGTGTCAGCAGCCATTTATGTAGAGAGAAAAGTCAGCAATCCGTAGTGCTTGGCAAAATCGGAATTTGCGTGTTACTTTCCATAAAACATTATTATTTGTCCTTTGCAGCCCTCATTTCCCCTGCCTTTTGACCCCAGATTAGGTACAGAATACCTATGGCTGCAACCTGAGAGAAAAGGAAGTGCCACCTATGAAAATATAAGTGCCTTTATGAAGGTATGCATTATAATGACCAAAGTAGAGGGAGGAAAACAGATAGGCCAAAAGGAACTGGCCTCATACTTCTCCAGGATGGAGAAACTAGGGTGCCCAGGGAATAATGTGCTCCTGTGCCAGGTAGAGCTTCTGTTAAAAGAAACCCCAGTGGTATCTATGCTTGTGCTATCCTGAAGCTTTTTAGTTAGTGGATATCATTGGGCTGCTGTGATGCAATGGAAAACACAAGTTCTGAAATCAGAATTGTATTTCAATTATGGCTCTGCCCTTGAATAGCAATGTGACCTTCAGTAAGTAGCTTAACTGCTGTGATCCTCAAATGCTTTATCTGCAAAACAGGGACAGTATCTGCTTCACGAGATTGCTGGGAAGATCCAGTGAAATCCCATAGGTAAAAATGCTTTGTAAACAACAAAACATTATAGAACTGTCAGCTACCATCCTTGTTACCAAACCCTTTAAAAACTAAAATCAGTATTAAAGGCAGGAAGAGGGAAATTAGACCATTCTGCCTGCAGACATAGGGAAGGTGGTAGAGGCTTTCTTCTGGCTTCTCTATATCTGTCAAAATTTTCCAGAGTGAGAACCACCATTTAGCATGTTTCACCAGACCCTGGTCATAGGTGAGGTATGGGAAGGGCCAGGCAAAATGCTGTACTACAGGAGTTCTTCGCCCAGGCTGATACCGAAGCTAGCTTAGCAAGGACGCACAAGAGGCTGACCTTTGTACCTGCCAGCTTGCCCTCCACTGAAGCAGAGACCTCAGGATTAGCCTAATACCAGGCCAGAGTCAGATGGGACATTAGATGAGGCATTTGGGTAGTGCAGTGAATAGAGTGCTGGACTTGCAGTCAGAAGCACTCGAGTTCAAATCCTGCCTCAGACACCTACCAGCTATGTGAACCTGGGCAAATCATTTAACCTCTGAGCCTCAGTTTCCTTATCTGTAGAATGAGGGGTTTGGATTCAGTGGATTCTAAGGGGCCTACCATCTGTAAATCTCTCTCTTAGAATATGATATGGGATCATAGATTTTGACCTAGAAGAGACCTTAGAAATAATTTAATCCAATTTTCTCCGATCATAGGATCATTGACTTAGAGCTGGAGGGAACCTTAGCACCCTTTTAGACCAATCCCCTCATTTTATGGAGGAAGAAACTGAAATCAAAGAGTTTAAGTGAATTACTCAGATTCACACAGGTCATGACAGATAGTGAATTCAAATCTAAGTCATCGGCCTCCACATCTAGTGCTCTTTAGTTTAATCTTTCTTTTGGCTTATTTGTTTGAATCCAGGCCTCCATGGGACTTCCTGGCTGTCTCCTTACTCTCCTACTGTCTCCATCCCACTAGAGACTTAGACTGTCCCTGGGTCCCCTGACACTTGCTCAGCTTTTGCCTTATCTTGCCTTGACCTGCGCTGTTTCCTCACCATGACCATCACCATGACAAGTGCCTTCCTTTCCTGGCCCCCTACCAGTACCCCCTCTTTTTTTTCATTATAATTTAAACTATCTTACTTGCTGGTATCTGTATCCCCAGTGCTTAGCACATTACCTGGCACATAGTAAGCATTTGATAGATGTTTTATCTGTCTCTCTTTCCATTGGCATGCTACCTAGACAAACAGATCCAGAGAGACTGACCTACCCAAGGTCACATAGGTAGTAAGTAGCAGTTAGTATTTGGACATAGGACCCCTTGATTCCAAATCCAGTGTTGTTTATACAACATGCTGTTATAGTCATCTAATGCAACCTATACATGAAAAGGAATACTCTCTATAACAGCTCCAACAAATGGTCATTCAGCCTTTGCTTAAAGACCTTCAGTGATGGGTAACTCATTACCTACTAAGGCAGCCTGTTCTTCTTTTGGACAGTTCTAATTTGTATGAAATTAATCCTTATTTTGAGCCAAAATCTGTTTCTCTGCAATTTCCACCCATTGATCTTACTCCTGCCCTCAGGGGCCAAGCAAAACAAGACTAATACCTCTTCCATGTGATAGCCCTTCAAATCCTTTAGTTATCAGGTTCCCTCAAGTTTCTCTTCTAAACGGAACAGAGTTCATTTAGCTGACCACTGCACAGAGTAGTCTCTAATCCCTTCATAACTTCATGGTGCTATGGAAAGAGTTATAGTCATGGAAGAGGCGAGCTGTTTGGTCTGCCCAAGGAGGCACTGGGCAAAGTGGTTTTGAAGCTGGAATCTTTGAAACTTTTATTGTACTCAATGGGTCTGTTAAGAGAATTGGGAGTAGCAATAATGGAAGGCTCTGGGGAGGGCTAATAGTGAGACTGTATAAACCTCTGGGAGAATTTTCTAGTTTGGAAACTGGCCAGTAAAAAGGATTAGAGATTACCCCATGCCACTTGTAAGCCCAAAGATAGAAGCATCTTCTTATAACAGATCCCATATGCCAACTAATAACATAAATCATAAGCTCATTAATAATGTTTCATTTTCATGTACTAGAGTTGGCTACAGAATGATACTGAACACAGAGATGGAAGGAATTTGAGGTGTCATTATTATTAGAATTGTGATTAGAATCATAGATGTAGAGCAAGAAGGGGTCTCAGAGCCTAACTCTTTCATTGTAGACAAAGAAACCGAGGCCCAGGGAGGTTAAGTGATTTGCCCAAGATCACAGAGGTATTAAACCAGAAATGGGGCTGGAATCCAGTTCTTCTGACCCCAGAATTTGTTCCCTTTCCATTGAATCATGCTGCCTCCAGTTACATCCCAGGGAGGCTGTGACTTGCTCAAGAGTACACAGTAAGCATCAGAAGTAGGATTTGAATCCAGATCCTGTGATCCCTGAGTCAGTCCTCTTTCTATTGTACTGGCTGTGTGAACCTCAGTCCCCTCACCTGCAAGATGAAGACTATAATTTGCTTGTGCTATAGCTACCTCAGTGGATAATTGTGAAGAAGGTACTTTGAATTGCAAAGCCCTATATTAAGGCAAGCTAAATATGAATTAAGGCAGCTAAGTGGTTCAATGGATAGAGTGCTGGACCTGGAGTCAGAAAGACTCATCTTCCTGTGTTCAAATAAGGTCTCAGACACTTACCAGCTGTGTGAACCTGGGCAAGTCACTTAACCCTTTTTGCCTCAGTTTCCTCACCTGTAAAATGAACTTCAGGAAGAAGTGGCAAACCATTCCAATATCTTTGCCTAGAAAACCCTAAATGGGGTCATGAAGAGTCAGACACGACTGAAACAACTGATCAACAACAGATGTGAATTATTTCCAATTTACATTGTGTAGTGCATTTCACTTTTTAAAAACATTGTCAATATCTTATTTGATCCTTAGAACAAGCTTATATGGTTGATGTTATTATCTTTATCTCTGCTTTACAGATGAGGAAGCCTAGGCTCCATGGAGTGAAATAATTAGCTTTAGGATTACATGATTACTAAGTTTCAGAGCCAGGACTAGAACTCAGATCTTTTGATTTCCAGCTGTATACTGTTTCTTTGAGAATGTATGTTTTTTCATAGGAGCTCTCTCCAGAGAGACTCTGTAGGGAACTGGGCTGGCAGAATGTTAAGAAGGAATTGAGAGGTTACCTTGGATTCTAGCATCGTTCATGAAAATCTAAGTTGTAGGGTACTAAATTAATATTCCATAATGACTCCCCATAGAATTGTACAGAATTGTTTAGGAATGAAGAATGAGAGTGGGGTGGGTAGTGCTAAGATTGGACTTAAAAATGTCTGAAACTTGTCTTCAAGGCTTCTATATGGGCCCCTAGCTTTTTTCCCCTTCCCTCACTAACAAGAGGCCTATGTGTGACTTCTTTCCCTCTTTTTCCCTTTCTAGCTGGGCTGTGTCTAAACTGTTGGAGCCTGCAAGAGTTAGTCAGTAGGGACCCAGACAACTTCCTTATTCTCCTGGAGCAGATCCTGCAGAAAACCACAGAGGTAAGGCCTGGCCTATAGTTCTAGGGGGGAAATATAGATGAGAAAACATAAGGTGAATTGAAGGAAGAGGTATAAAGAATCTTGGGAGTGAAGTTAGGATGTTAGTATGAAAAGTGATCCCAGGGGCCATTCAATTCAGTTCAGAAATCATTTTTAAATACCTACTACTGTGACAGACATTGTACTAGGTACTAGGAATAAAAACAAAAAAAAATAGTCCCTACCCTCAAGGAGCATACTTTTGGGTAGAAACAATATGTACATGGAAAAACAAAAAAATATGTATGTAAATATGCAATATCAGTCTTTAGTAGTAACTTAGGTCACTAGGTGGTATAGTGGGTAGAGAGCTGAGACTGACATCAGAAGGACCTGAGAGTTCATTTCAGACTCAAATACTTCTTAGTTGTGTAACCCTGGGCAAATCACTCAGTTTATGCCTACCTCAGTTTTCTTAACTATATAAAATATAAAATTTCTTAACTAAAAAATGTATAAAAACTATAATAGCACCAACCTCACAAGGTTGTTGTGAGGATCAAATGGTATTTGCCAAAGTGCTCAGCATAGTGCCTGACACATAGTAGGCAATATTTATTAAGTAAGAAATGCTTATTCCCTTGCCCTTCCTCATTCCCTCCATACCAGTGACTGAATAATGTTCCTGGGTGTGTAAGAGGGATAGGGAGGGTCTTGGAGAGTTATATATCTTCTTCTGTAATTCTGAAGAGAACTAACAGTATGATGAGAGAGACTGCATAAGGCACAGAAAGAACTGAAAGAATTTCTTTCTTAACTTAACTTCCTTAACTGTCAAGGAGAAAGAGTCTAAAGAGATATTTTAAGAGAACTGAATTTAACTTTTATTCTGTAAAGACATCTCCAGAAGAGATTGCACCAGTCCAGGCTGCTATTGTATGAGGGAAGAAGGGTAGTTAACTGAACACTGTTGAGGGTCCTGGCCCAGAAGTGTCTTTTCTTATAGCTTATACATACGCTCTTTGCATTATCCATTATCGTTCATAAACTGTATAGTTTGTAACATTGATGGTTATCTAAGCCTATGTTTCCAGACATCAACCAGAGTTTGATGCTGAAATAGGAGAGGAAGTTTATAGATAAAATGTTTCTCTGGCTTTTATAAACTGGAGTGGGAACTCAAAGCTAATTAATTAATGAGAAAGATTGTGCATTTCTATTAATTTATGAAGAAATATCAGAACATACACCTTGTTTGCTTTAGAATTCAGGATGGGTTTTAATAAGTAAATCAGTCAGCAGCAGGTAAAGAGGGGTGAGGGTTGATATGGCTCTCAACTAATGCACACACAGTCCATTCTGTGAAATGCTTCAGCTGGGAAACATAATTTTTTTCCTTTCCTATATTTTATCTCTTGTTTTATTATTTTACTTGATACATATTAATTACATATAAGTATTGTTTCATTGTATATTTCTGTTTATGCTATATATTCAATGTTTAATTGTTGGTTTGCTAAATCTAATTTTAATTTATAACTAATTGAAAAATGGAAGCTGACACATTTAATAGGAATTATGAGTTAATGAGTACTGATTTTCTTGAACTTAGCAATAAATCCTATGTGTAAGATTGAGGGCATTGTAAGATAATTTAAATGAAATGAAAGAGTTGGGGTGATATAAAATGATAACTAGCAGCATAAGACTGAAACTCCTCAATTAGTATTTCGTGAAGTACCAGATTCTATTGATCACTAAAAAAATTCCTGATAAGAGGATAGCAGAAGATAGTATCTAGAAATTGATCTCAAAGCCACCCTTTGAGGAGGAGGAATTAAAAAAAAAAACCTGGCAGTTTTTACTCATAGAGGTTTGCCAGTAGAAAAATTGAGAGGTATGTTTAAACCAGAAAAAGATGCTTTACATGTAGATAATGAAGAGTATAGATTTCTACACCACAAAATTGTCATATGCTCACATTAGTAATCCTCTGAAGACAGGATCCTTACTCTCTAGAAGTTTGGACTGAACACAGTATAGAATTATAAAAAGCTAGCAGGTATCTGAGATATGCAAGATGTTTAATTTAGTGGAATGTGTGAGAGACCCCAATTTTGATTAGTAAGGTCTCTAAGAGCAGAAAAACCTGAAACCACATATCAATAATGCTTACAAGAGCTAGAATTGATTATAGGCCTTATCCAGACTATAGGCCTGGCTAAGATGGCATTTACTAGGTTCAGCAATACCATTCAGCACAAAGATGAACCTCCATCTGAAATAGTGATGCAAGTGGACAGCTAAGTGACCTGGTTTTACCTTTGAGAGCTTTTGAAAGTCATGCTTCAGAGAAACAGTCTCAAGTTCTATTTAATTATTTTTACACAATTATTTCCCAATAATCTTCCATCTCATAAATTCTCAATCATAAGAAAGACAGTTAAACAAAACCAACACAGTGACCTCTTTTGACATGTATGGAACATTCTGTATCTGTAGCTTACTACCTTTCTACTAAAAGGAGGAAGGTGTGTTTCACTATTGGTCCTCTGAAATCAATATTGATCATTGCATTTAATCTAATTTCTGAATTTTTTAGTGTTTTCATTTACATTAGTAATTCTGCACTTAGTTCCTTTGGTTCTGACTTCTTCTTTATGTATCAGTTCATACACATCTTCCCATGTTTCTCTGAGCTTCTCATATTCATTATTTCCTTCAGCACAATGATATTCCATTGTACTCACAAGCTGTACTTTATTTTGCCTTTTGATGGCAAACCATTAACAACCACATGAAAGAATGTTCCATATCACTAATAATAAGAAGAATGCAAATTGAACTGATCCAACCCTTCTGGAGAGCAATTTGGAACTATGCCCAAAGGGCTATAAAATTGTGCCATATCCTTTGATCCAGCAATACCACTGCTAGATTTATATCCCAAAGAGATCCAAAAAAGGGTACAAAGGGTATTTATAGTAGCTCTTTTTGTGGTGGCTATGGATTGGAAATTGAGGGAATGCCCATCAATTGAGGAATGGCTGAACAAGTTGTGGTATGATTGTAATGGAATATTATTGTTATAAAAAATGACAAGCAGGATGCTTTCAGAAAAACCTGGAAAGACTTACATGAACTGATACAAAATGAAGTGCGCAGAACCAGGAGAATATTGTACATAGGAATGGCAATATTGTGTGATGAAGAACTGTGAATGATTTAGCTACGCTCAGCAATACAATGAGCCAAGACAATCTTGAAGGACTAATGATGAAAAATGCTGTCTGCCTCCAGAGAAAAATAACTGATGTTGTCTGAATACAGCCTGAAGTATATATTCTTTCTTTCACTCTTCTTGCACAAAATGACTAATATGGAAATGTTTTACATGATTGTATATTTATAAGCTATATCAGATTGCTTACCATGTTAGGGAGAGGAAGGAACAGAATTTGGAACTCAAAACTTAAAAAAACCCAAAATGTTATAAATTGTTTTTATATGCAATTGGGGGAAAATTTCTTTTAAATTTAAATTATTTTTTTAAAAAGAGGAATGCAAATCAAAACAGCTCTGAGGTTTCACCTCATAACCAGCATTAGCACAGATAACAAAAGATACTAATAGACAATGTTGTAGGAATTATGGAAAGATGGGCATTCAAATGCGTTGGTGGTGAAACTACATATTAGTCCAACTATTCTAGAAAGGAATGTAGGATTACAGCAAAGTAACTAAAATATATATACTTTTTGACCTAAAGATACCATTGTTCAACATATACCCCAAAGAATTCAGTGATTACAAAATGACTTTAACAAAGTAGAAACCCATCAACTGGGGAATAGCTAAATAAGATGTACCTGAATATAATGCAATATTACAGTGCTTTATGAGATAGTGAATATGATGAATACAGAGAAATATGGGAAAATTCATGAACTGTTGCTTACCAAAGTAAGCAAAACCAGGCAAGCAATATACACAATGGTCATAACAATGTAAATAGAATAACAATAAAACAATCCAAACTGAATGTTATGAAGTGACTGAGTTTGACCCTAAAGAAGAGACATAAAAAGACACTACCCAATCTTCTTTGCAGATTATGGATGTGGATTACTATATATAATGTTGGATTTTTATTTTTGGATGTGTTGGTTAGTTTTGCTGAACTGTTCTCCCCTTCTTTATCTATTCTTTGTTATAAGAACTATGTCTGTGGGAGCAAGGAGGGTTACATTGGGAAATATAGCTGATTTTAAAACAAAAGATATAAATTAAAATTTGTTTTTTCAAAGGGAAGGAGGAAGTTTAGAGAAACCTTTAAAAAGGTTATCTGTAGGAGAAAAAAAGAAAAGTATGGAAAGGCAATCCATGTGCATAAAAATATTGTAAGATTTCATAGAGATATCATATATGCCTATTCCATTTTCCCTGTTCTTTCCCTTTTCCTTCCTTACCTCCTCTCTCTTACCTTATCCTACTTTACTTTTCCTTTGTCTCTCTTCTTCCTCCACCGCCTTTCCTTGCCTTTCTTTCTCTCTCTCCTTCAACTCTCCCCAGACTCCTCCTATCTCTTTCTTCTTCTCTCATACAGGTTTGGTTGACTTTCTGTCTTGCCTGTTTCCTATAGGTCCAAGAGAAATGCAGCTATGATCTTCTGGCTCCCCTGGCTCTGCTTTTCTACTCTACTGTTCTTTGTGTAAGTTCTGAGGTTTGACAGACTAAGGCCTCTGAAGTCTGGCCAGAATTCTGCTAGATCTAGGTCCTGTATCTTTTGTAAAGGAATAGCCAACACCTCTCTGACTATTGATTTAAGTTTTCGTTCCATATTGGAACAAAAGCCAAAGTGTAGCACCCACCAAGGTGTTTTTTGTTTGTTCATTTCTTTGCAAAATTCAGAATTTACCTGTTCCCTGCAGAGCACCTCCCTTCAGAAACAGTCCATATGCTTCACCAATGCTGTTGCTCAGAGCACCACCTCCCTTTATGGAATCACCTTCAGATCCACTTTATCAGCCACAGGGGAAATTCAGTCTTGTTAATTTATATTCACACCTCTTTCCCACCTTTTGACTTAGCTTGGTTGTCTGTTGTATTTATTAGACTTGACTCTTTTAGCTCTTTCTAAAAACCAAATCCATTCTTGGAAGGTGAAAATTTACTTCTGTTCATTCATTCAACACTGATTAAGCACTCAACTACATGTTGGGGATCCAAAGATGAAAAACAACATAATGCTCACCCTCATTGAGCTTTCAGAGTAATAAGAGAGATACATTATAAGATGTAGTGGAAAGAATATGGATATGTATCCGGAAGACTTCGGTTCAGGTCCCAGATCTGGAACTTAATAGATATGTGATCTTAGCCACTTACTTAACATCTTTGAGCTTCAATACTTATGCCACCCATCACTATACAATGCAGGCTTAGAATACAATTCCCAAAGAGAAGTCATAGACACTGTCTGAAGATTGCCAAGTTTGCTTGATCATTAGCTTCTCATGAGAGCATCGTGGGACTTGGAAAATTAAGTTCCAATGCATTAAAATAAAATAAAATAGATTTATGTATAGCTTTAAAGTTTGCAAAATACTCACATTATCTCAGTGGATAGTCACAACAACTCAATGAAGTAGAAACCTTTATTATCCCCATTTTACAGATGAGAAAGTTCAGGCTGACAAAAATCAAGTGGCTTGCCTGATGCTCACACACCTTAGTGTCAGAAGAAGGATCCAGGCAGGTCATCCTGACTCCCAAGTCCAGCACTTTGTCAACTAGACTCCCTAGCTGCTTCTTTGTTAATTGAACCTAGACTACCATTTTGCCATTTGTAATCTATAACAATAGGACCATCCTCCAGGAGATGTGTCCTATTAGTCTCTATGTTATTTGCCACTACCTTGCTACATACAACCCTGCTTCTGAGATGACTCAAATTTCCCAGTCATATGGATTTGTTCTTTTGAGGACCTAGCCCTGAAACAAACCCAGTCTCCTCTCCTATATTACATCACTGTCCTCTTCCACACTCAAATCTTATCCCAATTCTGACTTTGTTCTTTACTTTACGTCTGCTTCCCTCACACAGACTCCACACTTCCCACCAGACTCTGACCTCCTTCTGAAAGCAGCTAGAACCTACCACAGATTCCTGACCTGGCCCATTCCTTACTGCAGCATCTGTCAGGAGCTTCTCACTTTCATTGATTCGGAGCTCAAGGTGCCAGGTATGTATGTGCCAATGCTATAACGTGGAGAGTGGCAGCAAGGGAAGCATGCCAATAAAGATGTTCATAGGCACTCATATTTTAGCTTTGGAAATAGCATCCCTTGTGATTGTTAGCATCTTACACTCTTCAGTTCCTTCTACAGTTTTGAGCCTGGCTATGCATTAGTTTTATTTAGCTTTTTTCTTTTTTAATATATTTATTTAATATTTTATTTTTCCCCAACTATACATAAAAACAATTTTTAACATTCATTTAAAAAAAATTTTGAGTTCCAAATTCTCTCCCTTCCTTCCTCCCATCCCCCTCATTGAGAAGGCAAACAATTTGCTATAGGTTATACATGTGTGATGTGCAGTCATGCAAAACATATTTCCATATTAGTTATATTGTAAAAGAAAACATAGACCAAAAAAACCTCAAGAAAAATAAAACTTTAAAAAAAGTACGCTTTGATCTTCATTCAGACTCCATTAGTTCTTCCTCTGGAGGTAGATAGCATTTTTCATCATAAGTCCTTCGGAATCATCTTGGATCATTGTATTGCTGAGCATAGCTAAGTCATTCACAGCTGATCATTATACAATATTGCTGTTACTGTGTGACAATGTTCTCCTGATTCTGCTCATTTCACTTTGCATCAGTTCACATAAATCCAGATTTTTCTGAGTGCATCCTGCTTATTATTTCTTATAGTATATTATTCCATCACAATCATACACCACAACTTTTTACACAAATAAAATCAGATCTAAATAATTGGAAAAATATCAGTTGCTCATGGGTAGCCCAAGCTAACATAATTAAAAATGAGAATTATACCTAAATTAATTTACTTATTCAATGCCATACCAATCAAACTCCCAAAAATTATTTTCTCAAGCCAGAAAAAATAATCAAAATTCATCTGGAAGAACAAAAAGTCAAGAATATCAAACGAATTAATGAAAAGAAATGCAAGGGAAGGTGGCCAGATCTAAAACTATTATAAGGCAGTACCATATTTCAAAGCAGCAATCATCAAAATAATCTAGTACTGGTTAAGAAATAGAGTGGAATAGATTAGGTATACAATTTGTTGTTGGTGTTCAGTCGTTTCAGTCATGTCTTACTCTTCATGACTCCTTTTGGGGTTTTCTTGATAGAGATGATGGAGTGGTTTGCCATTTCCTTCTCCAGCTCATTTTACAGATGAGGAAACTGAGGCAAACAGGTTTAAGTAACTTGCCCAGCAATATTAATACCAGGTCTGTATCCCAAAGAGATCTAATAAAAAGGAAAAGGGCTTATGTGTATAAAAATATACATAGCAGCTCTTTGTGGTGATAGATTGGGGAATGACTGAATAAGTTGTTGTATGTGATTATGCTGGATTACTATTGTGCAGTAAGAAATGGCGAGCAGCATGGCTTCAGGAATACTTTGGGAAGACTAATACAAAGTGAAGTCAGTAGAACCAGAACAATGTACACAGTAACAGCAATATTGTAATGATGATCAATTGTAAAAGATTTAGCTACTCTAATCAATACAATGATCCAAGACAATCCCAAAGGACCCATGATGAAAATGCTATCCACTTCTGGAGAGAGAACTAATGAACTGAATGCAGATTAAAACATACTTTTTTCACTTACTTTTTCTTGTTTGTTTTTTTTTAAACATGGCTAATATGGAAATGTGTTTTGCATGACTTCACATGTATAATTGATACATATTGCTAGCTTTTTCAGTGGGTGGGGATTGAAGGGAGGGGGAGAATTTGGAACTCAACATATAAAAAAATGCTAAAAATCAATTATTTTTAAAAGGAATCATAGGACATTAGAACTAGAAGGGGTATCATAGATCATCTAGCCTAGCTCCTTCTGAGAGTTTAGGTGATTTCTATAGGTATTATAATTGGTTAGCAGCAGAGCAAGAATTCAAATCTACTGATATTGAGGCCAATGCTCTTTCCGCTGTATCACCTTTCCTCTTAAGGCTGGAAGTGAGTTAGTGCCTAGGGAGTTAGGGAAGTCAATTGAAACTGGTATGAGCAAAGACCAGAGTTGGATTTATGGTTATGGAAGACAACATGGGGAAGCTTCAACCTCGAGTTCTTCAGAAGACTTGACTTAGCTTAGTGACATCATAACATGACTTAAGCTTCCTGAGTACGGGGGAAGTTTTGAACAGTTGCTATTAGGAACCTCCTCTTCTCTTCTCAAGAAGACCTCATCTCCTACTTTACTGTGAAAATAGAGTCAAGTAACCTGAACTACCTCTTCTTACCTACTCTATATCTCAAAATCATGATACCATTAACCCATTCTCTTCTTCTTACCTCAGTTTCTGATGAAGAGGTAGCTTTTCTTGACAAAGCCAACCTCTCCATTTGTACTCTTGCTCCAATCCCCTCCTATCTTCTCTGGTAGACAGCCCCCACAGCCATCCTCTCTCCATCCCTAATTTCTACTTATCTACTAGCTTCTTCCCTGCTATTTAAAAACATACCCAACTCTCCGCCATCCTTAAAAAATTGTTTAAACATCAATCCTTCAAACTGTAATCCTATATCTCTCCTCACTTTCACAGCCAAACTTCGGAAAAAAAAGATACATTCATACATACATATACATATATATGTGTATACACACACATACATACACATGTACATACATACATACACATATTATATATGTGTAAAATATATTTATAGCTTCTATATGAGTATGTGTTTATATATTTATATATTCATTTTCTCCATTTCTTCCCTCTTGTTCACTTGACTAACCCCTTGCAATCTGACTTCTTACCTCTTCCTTCAACTGAAACTATTCTTTACAAAGTTAAAAATGATCTCTTAACCCACCCAAGAGCCTTTTTCTCAATCTTCATCTTTCTTGACCATTCGATATAGCATTTAACACTGTTGATCATGCTTTTCTCCTGGATACTCTCCCCTCTCCATTCTTGGTTCTCTTCTTAACCATCTAGCTGTTTCTTCTCAGCTTCTTTTGTTGGATCAACATTTATATGATGCTCCCTAACTGTGGGTATGTCTCAAGGCTCTGTTATACCCTCTTCTCATCTTTTTCTATATGCTGTCACTTGTTAAACTCATTAGTTCCCATGGGTTTAGTTATTATTTCTACATAGTTGATTACTAGATCTGTATATCTAGCCTTAGTCTCTTTGCTGAGCTCCAGTACTATATCAATAACAGCTTACTGCACATGTAACAATAGCTAACATTCATAGTGGCTACTATATGCCATCCACTGTGCTGAGTACTTTACAAACATCTTATTTGATTCTCACAACAACCCTAAGAGGTTGGTGCTATCATATTCTCATTTTACAGTTGAGCAAATTGAAGTAAACAGAGGATAAGTGATTTGCCCAAGGTCACAAAGCTAGTAAGTGTCTGAAGCTGGATTTGAATTTGAGTCTTCCTGACTCCAGGCTCAAGGCTCTATCCATTGAACCACCTATCCTCATGGCATCTAAAACTCAATATGTCCCAAACATAACTCAACACCAAAACCCACATTTCTTCCTAACTTGCCCATTTCTGTCCAGAAATGCCATTATCCCTGTACTCAACTAGGTTCAAAATCTTAGAGTCATCCTTGATGGCTCACACTCTAACCCCTCCCGTGTCCCACATGTCCAAGCAGTCATCTAATGCTATTGACTCGGCCTTCACATGTCTTGAATCATTTCTTTTCTCTCCACTCCCTTGACCATCCACCCTTGTGCAGGCTCTTATCACCCTTACCTGGACTCTTCTGTAGCTTCCCTATGTTCCTTGTACAATCCATCACAACTGCCAAATTGATATTCCTAAAGCGTAGATGTGACCATGTCAGTCCTTCATTGAAGAAGGTCCAGTGGCTCCCTCTGGTCTCCAAGATAAAATGTAAACTCCTTCATTTGGCTTTCAAAACCATTCACAATCTGGCTGTAGTCCTACCTTTCCAAACATATTGCTCATTGCTCCCCATCACATACTCTGAGTTCCACATCTGGACCAGTAGCTTGAACAGCTGTGCATCATTTCAAACTGTTCCTCACACCTGAAATTCCATCTCCCATTTCTGTAGATTTGTACAAGCTTCCCCCACAACCTGGAATGCACTCCTTCCTCATCTGTGCTTTTTAGAATCATTGTCTTCAAAGATTACCTCAGGGGCTACCCTCTACATGAGGTTTTTCCTGGGCCCCTCAAATATTGCCTTCAATATTACTTTGTATTTACTTTTTATGTTTTCTTTACTCATCTAAATACATGATACTTTCCTCAATAGAATATAAGCTCCTGGGGGGAGGGGGGAGGTGGTGCAGTAGACAGAGCTCCAGCCTTGGAGTCAGGAGGACCTGAATTCAAATCTGGCCTCAGACACTTGACACTTACTAGCTGTGACCCTGGGAAAGTCACTTAACCCCATTGCCTAGCCAAAAAGAAAAAAAAGAATATAAGCCCACTGAGGGCAAGAACTGCTTCTTTTTATCTCTGGGGCCTAGCATAGTGCCTAACATAGAGTAAGCACTTAATAAATGCTGTTGATTGGTTCACTGACTAGGTGAGACCCATACTAGATCTCCATGATCTATTTTTATCCCACATGTCAGGGACAAGATGAGTGGTGCCCAGAACCATCTTGACACCAGGTATCTCTACTGAGGGTTTCCAAAGTGTGAGGCCTTTCTTCTCTCCCTGATACTGAAGTCCCCTTTCCTTGCCCTTCATTTTCTTAGGAATCATCTGAGGGAGGTCCTCTCTCCTTTCTGATATCAGAGAGAGCCCTGAGATACATTGGGGGTGTGGAGGACTTGACAGCATGGTCCTTGGCAAAGAACAGGATGTCCTTTCTTGCAATTCTTTTGGGCTAAACAGTTTTCTTTTGTTTGCAGGCATCAACTACCAGCGACTAGTGAGGGCAGAACAGGGACTGTCCATCAGAAGCCACCGAAATTCCACTGTGTGAGTACTCAGAATGGAGGTATGAGAGCAGATAGACACATAGACCTTTTGAGATTTAGTATATTCGCAACTAGATTTGATATTCCTAAAGCGTAGATGTGACCATGTTGGCAACTCTAGAAAGCAAGAAACCAAACCTGGTTAAGAGGTAGAAGTAAGGGAGCTTTATGCCATTATTCTTTAATACCCCTCTCTACTGTGGCATACAGGGCTAATTCTCTCTGGGACCCCTGGGGATTCATTAGTTTGAGTCTTACTTAGGTCTGCTGCTTCAGATTAAGTTGTGGGATAGGGTGGGCAAGTCCATGCTTTTAGAATCCTGTTTTGTATCCTGGACCATCTTAGCAATGCCTTTGCCAGGCCTACCCTGTGTTTTCCTAAGGGATATGAGTTAGGTATAAAGTGCAAAGACCCAGGGAAGAGGGTATCCCGGAATGAACCTCATTCCCTGCCCTTCCCATAAAACCTAAACTCATTGTCTCCTTTGTCCCTAGCACTGTACTACTTTTGAACCCCCTGGAGGTACAGACTGAGTTCTTATCTGTGGCCAATAAGATGAGTTTCCCGGAACCTTCTCCTCACAGTGCCTATGTCACACTGCTGCAACATGCTTACCAGGCCACCTTTGGGGTATGCTGTGACCTGGCCCGCCTACATCACATGCTTCAGGTACAAATGCCAACCTGTCCTCTTGGAACTTGGAGAAAGGGGGCTTGCAGACACCTTGGTTCATTAATACTTAGTACTGGGGAGAGGCAAGAGAGCTTTTCCAGATGGATACCAATATTACCCTATCCTGGGGCTTGATCTGCTTAGCGCTTAAGGAGTAATTTTTTAATAATTAAAACCAGCCATTAGGAATATATAGTGAATCCTTCATCCATTGAAATATTCAAACAGATCAGAGATAATGTAGAGACAATTAGATGATCTCTGGGGTCCTATCTTTATAATTCTGCAATCATGATGTGGACTAATGGGGAACCATCCCTATTGGCAGGTACACGTAGATGGGTCCTGATCTTTCTCTGTCTTTACCTCTGTCTGCCCAGAGCAGTGTCTTTTGACATAACATTTTATATCATATCAAATCAATATCAGATCATATCAAATCGCTGTGGACAAATCACAACCTCCCAGAGCCTCCTGATATCCTAATGAAGAAAATAATGTTTGTATTAATTCCCTCATAGGATTGTGGTGAAAAGAGAACATTGTAAATTGTAAAAAGATATATAAATTGAGTTATTATTGTCTTCTGATGGCTGGTGGTGGGGATAGTTGGTAACTTGGGCACGGGGAGGTGCCAGCACTAAAGGTGGGGAAGATGCTGAAGCTTATCATTAGAATTTTTCATTGTAGATGCTGACCGAGATCTTTATAATAGGTTCACTTTGGTTAGGTAGGAACAAAGGCAAAATGTTGGAAATGTTTTGAGGTTGTTTACATGTGTGTAGGTATGAGAGAGAGAGACAGAAAGAGATTGTAGTACAGTGGAAGGCTCCTTGGATATGGAATTGAGAGGATTAAGTTTTTATCTCAGTTCTAATTAACTAATTAAGATTATGACATGGGGCAGTATATTTCTTTTCTCTAGACTTCAGTTTCCTCACCTGTAAATTGAGGAAATTAGGTAATCCTTTCTAGCTCATATGTCCTGTTCCTCTTCCTGCACCTCCTTCCAGGAGGAAGGGGTTACCCAGTTGTGGGGGTAGGGGCTGGTTGGTTAGTGAGTTGGGCTCCATGTGAGAACCGGGGTGTGGGCAGGAATGATGGGCTGCTATACCATGAATGCAGTGTCAGACCTTGTCTACTCTGTTGGGGTGTTTATAGTCCAAGACTCTAACTGAACTGGAGGCCATCTTTGAGGAGACTACAGAGGCTCAGGAATTAGCATCAGCCATCAGAGACCCTAAGGAGGCTCGGCAGTGGCTGAAAGCCAAGCTGAAAGCTGTAGGAGAGAGAGCTGGCTTCCCCTACATCTCAGGTAAGGCTCTGGGGCAAGGAAGATGAATGTGGAAGTGGTCCTTGAGGATTTGAAGGAAACAAATTTTCCAAAGTTTTATTGAATACTGTGCACACTTCTACAAACATTCTTCTCCAGGGGAGGTGACCTGGGGTCCTCAAATGATATGCCACTGGAGCATAAGATTTGGCAGGTTTTACCAAGCTGGAAATTCTAAGTATGAGCATAATGACAGTTTGCGCCTGTCATGTGATGATTCCCATTTTGGTCATGCTCACCACCTTCCACCTGTATATTTGAAATAAATATTTATGACAGATGGGTATGAAGTTTTTTCAACCTTGCCTGTTCCTTCACATGGATGCCAAAATATAGATTGACTTTTTTTTTGAGGATCTTGTCAGGTTTTTTGTAAAATTTCACTACAACCTGGTCAGGTGTTATAAGGCAGGTGGAGCAGATAGCTCAGGTCTGATATTGTAACAACACAAGACATTCTTAGACCATTCAATAGTTAATTTAAAAAGGAGGTTTACTTAACTATAGTATAGAAAAGATACTCAAGGTTATAACACTTAGCTCAGGTAACATGGTCTCCTTCATGTCCATATAAAAATACTTCTGGTCAGCAGAGAAGGCTGCAATGATTTGGAGCGTCCACCAAGTCTGAAAGTCCCTGACTTCACATGGGTGTACCACTTTTGTGCTCTTTGATGGCCAGGAAATGACAATGCTTGAATCTGCCCAATCAAGTCTTGTGGATACATTTCTTGCCTTTTAGGGAGAGAACTAGCCCAACCTACATGAAAGGAGAAGAAACCATGGTAGATATTGATTACATCACACAACATATCCCATGAAATGATTCTTTTTGTTACCCTTGGACATGCAATTAAGTCAATCCTGCCAACTCTTTTAGTTACTTCAACTAAAAGAATTTCTGAGTCATCATTTCATTTCACTGCAACCTCTATTTCATCTGGATTAATTTATAAAAAGAATGTTATTGTAGATGTGGTTCATTTCCTCCAAAATATCAATCATTTTTCCTTGGGAAAAAGTCACCCATTTATGTTTGTGTGTGGCCTAACCCCTTTTCCACCACTCCACCACAGTCCCTATAGAAACTAAAAGGGACCACACAGAACTGAGGGTCATTTTTTATCTATCTTCAAGTTGTCATGGCCAAATAATTCATCACTTAGTTTCCCAGCTACTATTGATGAGCTTCTCTATATTTAGCGAAGCTGGTGTATAGCAAACAGTCTGTGGTTGGGCCCATCCTTTCCAGCTTGGTGTAAATGAAGCCTAACAGACTTTGTGCTCTAGCAAGAGCCTTGGAGGACCTCCAGGATATGATGAGGAATCAGAGGAGGTGTTTCATGGAGGAACACATGTAAAACTCAAAAGTTAACTAACAATGCAAGACATTATATGATAAATGCCACAAGCACTATAGGAGTTCAGAGGATAGGAGTATTCGTTGTTCACTGGAATGGAGGCTTCATGGAGGAGCTGCAACCTGAAGGCTTAATAGGATTTTTACATAAAAGAGAGGGGGCAGTGGGGAAGTTATCTTTTATTAGGGAGGCCCATATGGGCAGAAAAGGGTAGAGGAGCTAGCAAGTGATTCCAGTGACTAGGGTGGGAGGGGTGGGATAGACAGTGGAGGAGAAGGAATAGGAAGGAATGTAATTGATTCCCAAAGGAGAACCAGTATGGTATAATAGGCAGAGATTGACTTTTGAGTCAGGCAGACTTGTGTTCAAGTCCTACAGCATTACTAGCAGTGTAACCCTGGGCAAGTCACTGAACTTCTTGGTGCCCCAGGTAGTTGTCCAAAACTGTACGTTACAGACTAATTGTTGATTTGCATTAGTAGAAGTTTTCTTATCAGAAGCATCATTGAAATCATAGGCCCAGATGGGAAAAGCAAAACAAAATGCCACCACTTTAGCAAGAGTAAGATACATGAGAAATAATTAGCTACACTAGTAATTATTCTTGTAATAACTGTCCTGGCTTTTTCATTGAATAATTAAATAATGTTTCTTTTCTCTGGGACTCACTATCCTCCCCTGGAAAGTGAGGAGTTTAGATTCAGATGATCTCTTAGGGTATCTTCTTCCAGCTCTGAAATTTTATTCTTATTTCTACAGAGACCGCTCAGCCCTGTAAGCTGTATACCATTCCCATTCCAGTAGCCAGGTGCTATACCTATAGCTGGAATCAGGACAGCTTTGGTAAGGAATCTATCTGTGTGGCAGTGCTCCAGATGATAACAAAGAAATTTTGTTTACTGCTTCCCTCCCCACTTCTGTTTTGGCTTCAGCTCCTTCCTGGCTTCTATGACAGTCATCCGTCATTCTGGGACCTGTAGCTCTCTCACTCTCCCATCAATTCTCAGAGGTAGCTAGTCAGCCTCATTCCAATGAAACACAAAAACCCTTACAGTTAGCATCTAGCCGATAGAGTTTGGTTAGTTTTGGAGGCAGGGAACCTTGTGCTCTGATTTCAGCCCTCTCACTAAAGGATGATGTTACCTGATATGCATTCCTGGATTGCCTCTTCCCATGAAATAATCTGGAGAGAGTTATCCTTGCTCACATTCACTCTGGATATCTTTGAAAGGGGCTAGGAAAAAGTGTAAAGTTTTCTGAGTTTCTGAAAAGAAAGTCCTCTAGTGGGTAAACTCAATTCAACAATTAATTATTTGTACAAAGTACTTTTGTTAAACACTAGAAGAACTATACAATTTAGATAAGACACACCCTCTGCCCCTATGGAGCTTACAGTTTAGGTGGAGGGGAGAGAACACTGACATGTAATTAAAACATATTACGTATGATATTTGTATAAGAGAGGTACGGTCAAAGCTCTATAGATAGGTTAGATCTAAGGGGAGAAGTTTTTTCATAAACTTATTCATTTATTTTTATATGCATTTATAATCTGCCCTTCATTAACTCCCTACCCACCATTGAACAAAGAAACAAAAAAAATCCTTATTTATAACATGTATAATCCATTAAAACAGATTCCTGCTTTGGCCATGTCTTTCTTTGCATTTTAAGTTCCTTTGTAGGAGGTGAGTGTTGTTTAGTCTCTTGGACTTACGGTTTTAAAGCCTTTCAAAGTTGTTTTTCTCTATAATTTTTTTTTATCAGTGTATAAATTGTTCTCTTGGTTCTGCTCACTTCAGTCTTCCTTAGTTCATGCAGATTTTCCCAGTTCACCCTGAAACTGTCCTTTTTATCATTTCTTATAGCACAGTCATTCCATTACATTCAAATACCTTAATTTGGTTAGCCATTCCCCAATTGAAGGACACTCTCTTCGTTTACTACTTTGGGCTGCTATGAAAAGAGGAACTATAAATTTTTTTTTTGTATATATGGGTCTTTTTCTTCTTTGATTTTTTTGGGGGTATGGAGCAAGGAATAGTATAGCTGGATTAAAAGGTTAAAGTGGGACATAGTCCCAAATTGCTTTCTAAAATATCTTGACTAATTCACAGCTCTATCAACAATGCACTAGGGTGCCTATTTCCCTTCAACCCCTCCAACATTTATTATCTTCTTCTTTTGTCACCTTTACCAATTTAATGAATGTGAGATTGAACCTCAAAATGGCTTTAATTTCTATTTCTCTAAGTTATGATTCAGAGCATTTTTATAAGGTTGTTGATAGCCTTTTATGCATTTTAATCCTTTGACCGTTCATCTGTTAGGGAATCAGTCTTATAAAGTTAAATCAGTTGCTTATAGTCATTCAGTCAATAGATATTTATTTAGTTCCTGCTTTGGTACAAGCACTGTGTTAAGCACTGGGGGATACAAAGAAAGGCAAAAGATAGCATCTGCTCTCAAGGAGCTCATAATCTAATGGGGGAGGGAGGAGAATATCTGAACAACTATGTACAAATAAGCTACAAATAGGATAAATTAAAATAATCAATAGAAGGAAAAAGGCACTAGAATTAAGAAGGATTAGAAAAGGTTTCCTATAGAAGATGGGACTTGAAGGAAGCTGAAAGATGGAGATGAGGAGGGAAAGCACTCCAGGCATTAGGGATAGATGGCCAGTGATTCAGAGTACGAAGGTGAAGAAGAACAGCAAGGAAATTGGTGTCACTGTATCAGAGTATATGAAGGGAGTATGAAGTGTAAGAGGGCATTGGATATGAGACCTTTATCATTTACCAACTTCCCATCTAATTTTCAACTACATTAGATTTATTTGCACAAAACTTTTTAAATTTTATATAATAAAAGTTGGCTATTTTATCTTATATAATCCTCTTGATTATTTGCTTATTAATGAATTCTTCCCTATCCATAGATTCTAAAAAGGAATTTCTTCCTTGCTTCTTTAATTTGTTTAGGATATGACCTTTTATATTTAGGTCACGTGTCCATTTGGAGCTTATCTTGGTATATGGTATGACATGTTAGTCTAATCCTAACTTTTGCCAGACTGCCATTTAGTTTTTGCAGAATTTTTTGTCAAATAGTAAGTCTTTTCCCCAATACGTGGGGTCTTTGAGTTTGTCAAATATTATGCTACTCTATTTGTTTGCTTCTGTATGTTATTTTATATTTAATTTGTTCCATTGATTAACCATTCTGTTTTTTAACCAATATTGAATCATTTTAATGAGTACTGCTTTGTAGTATCTGGTATTGATCGATCCCTTTCCTTCCTACTTTTTTTCATTATTATCCTTGAGATTCTTGACTGTATAAAGTAACTACTACACATATTATTATCTTCATTTTACAGATGAAAAAACTGAGGCTCAGAGAGCTTAAATGACTTGCCCAGTTTCACACAGCTAGTAAGTATCAGAGGAGGGATTTGAACTAAGTTCAGTATTTTATCCACTATGCCATCCTGTTTCTTTCTTCTATGGAAAATTAAGTCTGATAGATGGGAAGAATGAACTGAAGGTGGAGGAGAGTGGAGATGAAAATGCCTTTAGGTTATTGTAGTAGCTCAGAACCTGTTCTAGGGTGGCAGAGAGAAAATACTGAGAAACATCAGAAAATTAGAATCATCAGGACTTGGTAACTGATTGGATATGAGAAATGAAGAGGAGACAAAAGAAAAACCAAAATTTTGACCATGAGAATGAGTGAATGGTGGTGCCCTGATAGATTTTATGAAGTTAGAAAGGGGGCAAATTTTGTGGAAAAGATGGTAAGTTTGTCTTTGGACATGAGTTTGGAATGCATGAGCTTAGAATGCCATTGGGACATTCAGACAGCAGTGCCCTGTAGGTATTTAGAAATATCTGGATAGAGATGATGGTCAAACAAGAGACAAGCTGTGGTCAGAAGACCTGCTTTCAAATGCTGACTCTGTCACTTACTACCTGTGTAAATGTGGGCAAGTAATATATTTCACACAATTTCACACATTTCACACACAAGACACACAAGTTACACTGAGGCACTATGTGTCTCAGTTATTCATTTGTAACATGAAAGGATTAAATCAAATGACCTTTTAAGTCTCTCTCACATCTACATCTATGACTCTAAGCCATGGAAATAAGACGGGGGAAGTGTTAACTAACATTTATATAGCACTTTGATGTTTGCCAAGTGCTTTACATATGTTGGCACATTTGATTGTAGACAGAGAACTGAGGACAGAACCTTGAGAAACATTACCTTAAGGACTCAGGAAGAGGATGGCTAGTATAAAGAAGTAACAGTTAGACAGGTAGGATGAAAACCAAGGGAATTTTATGCCTCAAAAGTCAGAGTATAAGAATACCAAAAGAAGGGGATGGGGTAAAAAGCAAATAGGTCACTAGAGAACTTTCAGAGAGTCTTTTCAATAGAATTGTGGGAATTAATCAATAAACAAGCATTTAATAAGTGTCTGCTATGTGTTCAGGCACTGTACTCTGTGGAAAGAATGCCAAGTTGCAGGGGACAGTGGGTAGTAAGAAGGGAAGACTTTGTACATAAACAACTTTTTCATTTTTTTAAAGCAACTTTTTCAAGAAACAACATGGTACAGTGGAAAGAATGCTGGACTTGGTATCAGGAAGGACTAAGTTTAAATTCTAGCTCTGTCATTGACTAGATATATGATCTTAGGCGAGTCATATAACCTCTGTAAGCCTCAGTTTACTTATCTTCAAAATGGAATAGTAATTTTCACATGGCCTACCACTTTGAGTAATTGTGAGGAAAATGTTTTGCAAAATTAAAAGCACCACATTAAAAAAAGAAAAGAAAAGAAAAAAGAAAGAATGGGGAAGCCAGGTGGTACAGTGGATAGAGCTCTGGCCTTGGAATCAACGGGACCTGAGTTCAAATACAACCTCAGACCCATGGCACTTACTAGCTGTGTGACCCTGGACAAGTCACTTAACTCCAATTGCCTCACCAAAAGGCAATAAATAAATAAATCAAATAAATAAATAAAAGCACCATGTAGATGTTGGTTATTATTAAGAAGTTTGTACATGAAGGGTAGGAAGAAATTAGGATGGTAACTGGCTAAAGAAGTCAATAACTGCTAACAATGACAAGGCATTTTGTATTTTGTTTGTTTTCTGATGGGAGGGATTGGGAAGACCTGAGCGTGATGTCTGGAGAGGAGAAATTAAAAAGTGCATAAAAGAGAAGGAATGATTACTAGTTCAAAGACCTATAGGAAGGAGGGAGCATGGGATCAAAGGCACAAAGAGGGAGAATAGGTTTGGCTAGGATTTGGGATATCTCCTCCTCTGAGACAGAAGGGAAGGGGCGAGGGAGAAATGTATGATTGTGAGGAGTCATGAGAAGTGGAAGAGGGGCACTCTCAGCATATGGTCAGGGAGTAGGGATTTAATGCTCCTTTTCCTGAACAAGGGATGGTAACCTAGTAGTCCCTTCTACTGAGTTTTGGGTAACATATGACTGGGACCTAAGGTACACTTATGGAGGCTACTCCTTGCTTCTCTATAGACATCCTAAAGGAGATCCTGCTTAAGGAAAGGGAGTTGCTCCAGCCAGAGACCCTTGAGGATGATGAAGAGGAGGAAGACTTGGAGGCAGATGGATGCTTTGCTAAGCGGGACTCCCTACTCTCTACTACTTCTATGGCATATAGAGATTTGACCAGCTCAACAGCCTCACTCCAGGCCTCTGTCCCTGGCTTCTCGAGCCACCTGTTGACCTCTTTTGTCTCAGGCCTTTCAGACTACATGGACAGTGGCTACATGGAAGACAGTGATGAAAGTTCCCCTGATCGGCCACGGAAAGAAAGCCAGGAGGAACAAGGACCTCAAAGACCTAGGAGAAAGTTTAATAGAATCTATAAACTCTTAAAGAGCAAGAGCCATATGGTGCTTCGGAGAGACTCCCAGAGCCCTGTGAAAGGGACTGGCTCAGGCACGCTCCCTCTTCGTCGGACGGGGAGTCTATGTAGCCCTTTAAACATGCCTTCACCACTCTCTTCCTGTTCCCAACGTTCCCATTCCCTTCCCCAGCACATGCTGGAGAGCCAGCTTTCAACCTGGCTCCACCCCACTGCCACACACCATCGACATCGGAGGCCTTTCCTTAGTGGTGATGAGGACTCCAAGGCCTCCACACTGCGTGTTGTGGTCTTTGGCTCAGATCGGATCTCAGGGAAGGTTGCCCGTGCTTACAGCAATCTCCGGTGAGGAGTGGGAGAAGGAGCATTTCTTTCTTAGCTATTCAGACCCTTTATGATCAGCCTTGTTAACCAAGAGACAGAGGAGCTGGAGAGGAAGGGATTGTTTTCTAATTGGGAGGGCAGTCAGCATGATGGCTTTGTCCACTTATGTGCATTAAGACATCCTGAGCTGTCTCCCAGGTACTGTGGGTGGGACCCACAGGTGGAGAGCCAGAGGATTAAAGGAAATGGGGATGAGGGAGGATGCCATATGCTCATTTTATCATTTGTCTTATCTTCATACCAGGAAATTGGAAAGCAATTGCCCACTCCTGACACGGTACTTCAAGCTTCAATTCTTCTATATCCCAGTAAAACGAAACTATCAGCCTACATCTAGTAACTCTCCTGCTCATCCAAACCAGTCACACCTCATGTCCACAGATTCCCTAAGGCATCTGACTCCAGGGGTATGTGCTGAGCCTCAGGGAGAAAACTGGACAATATGCAAACACATAGTGCTACTTGCTAACATAATAAAAGGATGTCTCCATTTGGAGAGGGAGTAGGATAGGGAGAGGGAAGAACAAGAATGGAGACATGGGAAGGAGGGAAAAGATGAAGTGGGAGACTATTTTTTGAATTGTGTGTTTTTGAGGTAATCAAATGAATAGCCAATATTTATTGAGGTACTAATATGTGTAAGATACTACTAATAGGTGCCATTGCTTGTATAAAGAAACAAAAGACAGTCCATGCAAGACTTTAAATTTCCATGCAAGAGTTTAAAATATAATTGGAGACAAGTATAAACATGAAAAGTTAAAAGAATTAGACAAGACAGATCTGGCAGATCTGTTGTGAAAACCATGCATGAAACCTTAAAACAGGATGGATATGTGAGAAGTTGTTGCTCATACTATTATTAATAGTAATAATAATGAAAGACAGTTTAGCATTGTGGATAGGGAGTTGGTTTGAGGGTCAGGAAGACCTTGGTTGAAGCCTTTACTTTGTCATAGTCTAGCTGTGTGTCCATGGGTATGTCATGTAAGCTCTCAGTGCCCCAGATAACTCATTAAGTTATAGATAAGTTGCTAATCTGCAGTTTCCATACTGCCTACCAGTTTCTTATGCCATTAAAATCCAAAGTTTTCTTTTAAAGCCATAGGAGAAACTCAAAAGAAAGAGAAACAAAAGATTTGGGTTTCAGGAGGAGCTGTCCAGTTCCATCTTCCTGCTGGATGGTTCCCTTTAGTGAGTGTTAAGTGTTGATTCTGATGCCTTGTGAGCTGGGAATCTTAAGCCTCACCCCTAGACCCCTCCTGTCTCTATTCCCACTACAGGACATTCCCCTGGCCTCATGGGAAGACAGCACCAATGACATTTCCCATTACCTCGGAATGCTGGATCCTTGGTATGAGCGCAATGTGCTGGGATTGATGCACCTGCCCACTGATGTCTTGTGCCAGGTAGGCAGGTCACAGGAATAGGGGAGAGGGAAGGAGGATTTTGCCTCAAGACCTAAATTTGAGGATCCCTTACCTTACTTGGGCTCAGGTCCTAACAACAGTCCTTGGACCTGGAGGAAGTGTGAATAGAGAGCTGGCCTTGAAGCCTCTGATATACTGGCTGTGAGATCCTGGGCAAATTGTTTAATTTCTCAGTGATCCAGTTAACTCCCCTAAGACTATACATTGCAGAGAAGGTGCCATCTTTGTTGGTAAGAGGTACCTTTCCTCATCCAAGAATTCCCTATACCAAAGAAACCACAGTTCCAGTCCCTGTCCCTTTAAATCTGGGATAAGGCATTTGTCTCTCCTAGGCAAGGTTTGAAACTGGCATCTCTTCCCTATGTGGTCTCCACTTTGAGGAATTCACTATAATACTTGACTTTTCATCGAAGAAATTCCTACAGAAAACACAGGAAGTACAATTTTGTTACTCAAAAAACATTCATTTAATAGAAGTTATATTTGTAATAATCCTGTATTGTACCCCATTGTGTGTACCATGCCTTAGGTGACTGCCTATTTTCCCTATCCTTACTCCTGTCCATATAAATTAAGTAGAAAGGAGTAATGATATAGCAGTGGGAATTAGGGAAAATCTAAATCGTACTGTGTTCAGGAGCCATGGCTGGGGATGCTTCAGTCTTATGGTTTTCTCTGTCTGGTGTCCTGTTTGGGCACTAGGCACAATCTGGCAACTTCCATAATCTTTCTCCTTCCAGCCTTACTTTATGACTCTGGAACTAATGCTTGGAAGCTGTGCTTTGTCCTTGTCTACCCCCTTCCTTGACCCTCTCCCTTAGAGGAGCATTGGAAAGAAGTGAGAGAACACAGAGCTAACATCCCTGCAGGTTTTCCCTTTGACTCATTCTCCTCCTTTAATGTGACCTGTTTCACACTGTTCATGCCAATGTCATCTCTGTCTCGGATTTCTCTTTGTAGCAGACTTTGAAGACTGAGGCTGGGCCACTGGAGAGTGCCCAGGAGCAGCTGCCCATCCTGGCGGACATGCTGCTTTATTACTGCCGTTTTGCCACAAGACCAGTCCTACTGCAAGTCTATCAGATAGAGGTATAGACAGAGGTTAGAGGGGAGAGTTTCCCTCCTCTTTTTTCCTCCCTACTGCCTTTTCCCACACCATTATTAATTTTCAGATTGCCATTAGCACCATCTCTTTTGGGGTATCTGATCAAACTATATAGTTAAGATTATCTGAATAAAGAAATAGTAGAAAAAGGGAAAGGGGAAGGGAACAAGCATTTATTAAGTTCTTACTGTGTACCAGGTAATTGTACCTAGTAAAGTGCTAAGCACTTTACAAATATTATCTTATTTGATCCTCACAATAATCCTTTGAGGTTGGTGCTATTTTACAGTTGAGGAAATTGAGGCAGATAAAGGTTAAATGACTTGCCCAGGGACGCACACCTAGTAAATGTCCAAAGCTGGATTTGAACTCCCATCTTCCTGACCCTAGACCCAGCACTCTATCCACTGCACCACCTACCTGCCAAAAGCTCTGCACTACAACTGAATGACCTTGGGCAGATTATTTCCCTTCTCTTGGCCTTAGTTTCTTCATCTATAAAATGAGGAAGCAGAATTAGAAGATCTTTTAATGTCCCTCCTATCTCTAACATTCTAAAGTCTATAAAGAGAAACTGGGTTCTTGGGGAAGCAGAATGAACTTAAATTCAGTCTGTAGGAGTTAGCTTCTCCCTCTCCATGGCCTTTTCTTTGACATACTTAAGGAGGGAGGCCCCACGTAAACAGCACCTTTTGGCTCCCTGTGATCACAGACATTCTTTTCTGTAGTTGACCTTCGTCAGTGGAGAGAAGACAACAGAAATTTTTATCCACTCCCTGGAGCTGGGTCACTCTGCAGCTGTCCGTGCTATCAAGGCTTCTGGTAGGTATTACCTTTTTAAGAGGCCCAGGAAAGGCATGATAGGTGGTGGCAATAGTCTTAGCATTCTCTTTTCCTTCCCACCCCAATACAGAAAACAGTGTGTCAGGGTGGTCTTTAGCGCAGGGCAGTTGTACCACACTGGTCTGGAGAAACAAAAGGCATTATGTCGAAGTCAGAAAGAGTACTGACACACTGGAAGTTAGGAGACCTGGATTCTAGCTTCAGCTCTGCTATTTATTTAACACCTGTGCAATTTAAGGCAAATCTCATCCTCACTATTTTCTGTACAATGAGAGAATTGGACAACAGCATTTCTTTCATCTCTAACATTCCATGGAAAAACTGACTCCTGGAGGAAGTGTTACAGACACATTCAAAAATAATGGTAGGAGACTTTCAGCAAAATGGTGGAGTCGTATCTAAGTAGGCCCCATGTATCCCCTCAAAACAATGACAAATATGCCAAAAATTGTAAAAGAACAACAAACAGAAGAGGGGAAAGGAAAGAAACACTTACAGGAAAACAAACAAAACCTGAAGAGCTGAATAAGCAAGAAAGAGACCCTAATTAACCAATAAATGTGTCAAGATCAATAAATGCTTTAATATCAAAGAATATGAGGAAAAATCTGTGGTCAGAAAGAATGAGTCTCACAACTCATGGAATGAAATTATTTACCACAAATAAATAATACTCAAATAATCCAATCCAGTCAACATTTATTAAGCACCTACTATGTGCCAGGCACTGTGTTAAGTGCTGGGGATACCATTAATAAAAAGAAAGTCCCTGCCTTCAAGGAGCTTACAATCTAATGAGGGGAGGGAAAACAAAATTATGCAGGAAGCTGGGGGGGGAGGAGGTGGAGGGCTGGAAAACCAGGGAATATCTTATTCCACAGAGTTAAAACCAAGGCAGAGTTGCAGATGAAGAGTAGAGTGAGTCAAAAGGTCTGCTCTCTGCCCTTTATAAAGGAAAGCATTGGGAAGAGGTTGGTACTCCACCCTCCACTCAGAAGGGAGATGAGGCTAAGGGAGGTAGTGTCAGTCAAGGCTGGAGTAACAGCATGCTGATGAGATTAGAGGAGAAGGAGCATCCTGTTCTATAGAATTAAAACTAGGCACAGTAACAGATGCAGGGTAGAGAGGAGTTTGGGAAGGACAAGGGAGCTTCCTAAATTATACTCTTATCTGAGGTACATAGAAAAAGGTAAGCAAATATCAAAACATCTATATCAATAAAAATAGAATCTTGGGATTGTTTTTTGATGTGGGAGGGTAAGGGAGAGTGAAAAGTCGAGGTAGTGACTGGAAGGATGGTGATGTCCAAGACAGAAATATTATTTGTCCAAGACTGAAATGATATTTGGGGAAAGGAGAAGGTATTCAGTTCTACGAACATTTTCAAACAAGATCATCAAACTGTCAACCACCATATGAAAGATTGCTCTAGTTAAGTGTTGTCAGACTCAAATAGAAATAAGGGCCACTAATCCATACATAAAGATCTCTGTGGGTCACATATTGACTTAGTTTTAGAATATCATGTTTAAAATATCATTTTTTATTATTTTTTAATTTATTTTGTTAATTATTTCCCAATTAAATTTTAATCTGGTTTTGATCATGTTTGGGAGTGTTGTAGACTGCATACCAACTATGGGCCACATGTTTGACACCTCTGCTCTAAATTACTCCCAAGCACGCACATAAAATATTATCAATTCAAAGAATGCTCCCACCCTCCCAGATGCAATAAGCAATACAAACTGAAAAGACTGAGAGTTCACCTCATATTCATTAAATTAGCAAAAATGGCAAAGTATGGAAACAGTGAATTTTGTGAGGACTATAAAAAGATAGGAACATTAATACTCTATTTGTGAAACTGTGAATTGGTCTAATCATTCTGGAAGGCAATTTGGAATTACGCAAGAAAAATCACTGAACTAACCATACCTTTGATCCAGAGATCCTGCTGGTAAGTCTATACCCCAAGGAAGTCAAAGACAAAAAGAGAAGTCTCATATATTTGGAGAAATACATTTGGAGAAAAAAAATGGAAATTATATAGGGCCCATCAGTTGGAAAATGTCAAAACAAATATTAGTATAGGAATGTAATGGAATATTATTCTCTGTAAGAAATTAGGCATGTGACGAATTTGGGGAAATACAGGGAATAGTATGAACTGATGAAGAGTGAAGTAGTCAATTATTAAGCACCTAGTATGTGCCTAGGCTCTGTCCTAGGTACTAGGGATACTGATACAAAGATGAAGTGACCCCAACCTTCAGGCAATTTACAGTAGACCAAAACAATATGTACACCTATTATCATGGATGGTATGCAGTCTGCTATACCTGATCAGAACCAGATTAAACTGTATACACAAAAAGAGAAAATACAAAATATATACAACATAAACGAGGCAATTTTGGAGGAGAGGTAGTAGTATCTGGGGAGAATCAGAAAGGCCTCATTTAGGAGGTAGTACCTGAGCTGAGTTTTGAAGGAACTAAGGATTCTAAGTAGTGATGAGGAGAAAGTACATTTCAGGCATGGACACAGCCTGTGAAAGGCTTGAAGACAAGAAATGCAATCCTTATGTAAGGAAGAGCAAGAAAGGCCAATTCGCTGGATTGATTGTAAAGTGTATGAAGGAGAATGATATGTAATAAACCTGGAAAGTTAGGTTGGAGCCTGGTTGTGAAGGGTTTTACAAGCAGAAAAGTTTGTATTTGATCCTAGAGACAATAGGAAACTGGTGAAGTTTATTGATCAAAAGAGTGATGATTTATTATACATTCCTGCTCTGAGCTTCAGTTTCCTCATCTGTAAAATGGGGATAATAATACCTACTTAACCTTACAGGGTTGTTAAGAGGCTCAACTCAGATAACATATGTAAACATTTCGCACATTTTAAAGTGCTATATAAATGTCAGGTTCTATTCTGAATTGATAAGAGCTAAAAAAAAATCACATAAAAAGTAGAGAATGGGAAATTATATTTGTTTAAAGTTGTATATAGGAGATGAATTTGTAACCAGACAATATTAAAAAAAATTTTTTAATGCTACTTCAATTATAATAAAAAAGCTTTTGCATTAATAAAACAAATGCAGCTAGAATAAAAAGAAAATATATGAATTGGGGGAAAAACTTCACAAAAAACATCTCTTATAAAGATATGACATCTCAAATATACAAGGAATTTGAATATATTTGTTATCTTGTATCATTCTCCAGTAGATAAGAGCTTTAAACAAACTTCTTAAAAGAAAAACAATCTATCAGCAGCTGTCTAAAGATGTTCTCAAAATTGCTAATCATAGAAATGAAAACTAAAACAATCTGATCACCTCATACATAACAGGTTATCAGAAACATAATTTTGATAAGGATTTAGAAAAACACATTAAATCACTATATATATGGAGGCTATTATATATTATATATAGTTATATATTATAATAGTTATATATTATAACTATTATAAAACCAATTTGGAATTTTGTAAGACAAGTTACAAAACTGTTCAGACCTTTTTATCCAGCTGTTATTGGGGATATATCCTAAGTAGGTTATTAATAACAAGGAAATATTTACTTTTATGAAAATATTCATTGCATCACTTTTTATAATACAAAAAATTTGGAAACTGTCTGATAATTGGAGAATGAGTCAACAAATTATAGTATATGGATCAAAAATATTGCTACTAGCCTTTTCCTTATTTTGTTTTTATTAGGTATTTTATTTTTCCCCAGTTACATGTAAAAACAATTTTTAACATTTGTTTTTAAAACTTTGAGTTCCAAATTCTCTCCCTCCCTCCCCACCCCGACCCATTGAGAAGACAAGCAATTTGATACAGTTTATACATGTGTAGTTATGGAAAACATTTCTGTAATAGTCATGTTGTAAAAGAAAACATAGACCAAAAAAAACTCTCAAGAAAAATAAAGAAAAACAAAGTATCCTTCAATCTGTATTCAGATACCATCAGTTCTTTCTCAGGGGATGGAAAGCATTTTTACCATAAGTCCATCAGCGTTGTCTTGGATCATTGTATTGCTGAGAATAGCTAAATCATTCACAGCTGATCATCTTATAATATTGCTGTTACTTTGTACATGGTATTTTTCACTTTGCATCAGCTCATGCAAGTTTCTCCAGGCCTTTTCGAGAGCATCCTGCTTATCATTTTTCATAGCACAATAGTATTTCATCATAGTCACATACCACAACTTGTTCAGCCATTCCCCAGTTGTTGGGCAGCCCCTCAATTTCTAATTCTTTGCTTCAGAAAAGAGCTGTTTTGGGATACAGACCTAGTAGTGATTTTGCCAGGTCAAAGGGTATGCATGGTTTTATAGCCCTTTGGGCATAGTACCAAATTGCCCTACAGAATGGTTGAATCAGTTCACAACTCCACCAACAGTGCATTAATGCCCCATTTTCCCCACATTCCTTCTACCATTTGTAATTTTTCTTTTCTGTACTATTAGCCAATCTAAATGGTATGAGGTAGTAGTACCTCAGAAGTGTTTTAATTTGCATTTCTCCAATCAATAGTGAGTTAGAGTATTTTTTCATATGACTATAGATAGCTTTGATTACCTCATCTGAAAACTGTTCATATCATTTGATAATTTGTCACCTGGGGAATGGCTCTTATTTTTATAAATTTGACTCAGTTTTCTACATGTTTGAGAAATGAGGGCCTTATCAGAGAAACTTGCTTCAAGAATTTATTTTCACAGTTAATATTGCTAGCTATATGTCCCTCCATCCTATCCTCCGCCCCATTTATTCTATTTTGTCCTTTCACCCTATACCTCCTCAAAAGTATTTTGCTTCTGACTACACCTTCCCCCAGTCTGTTCTCCCTTTTAAATCTTCCCCCTCCTCTCCTTCACCTCCTACTTTCCTGTAGGGTAAGATAGATTTCTATACCCAACTGAGTGTGTATGTTATTCCCTCTTTGAGCCAGTTCTGATGAAAAGTTCACTCATTCCCCTTCACCTCTCCTCTCTTCCCCTCCACTATAAAAGCTTTTTCTTGTCTGTTTTATGTGAGATAATTTACCCCATCCTATCCCTCCTTTTCCCTTTCTCCCAGTACATTCCTGTCACACCTCTTAATTATATTTTTTTAAGATATCATCTCTTCATATTCAATTCGCACCTGTGCCCTCTGTCTATATGTACTCCTAACTGCCCTAATAATGAGAAAGTTCTTGTGAATTACACGTATCATCTTCCCGTGTAGGAATGTAAACAGTTTAACCTTATTAAGTCCCTTATAATTTCCCTTACCTGTTTACTTTTGTATGCTTCTCTTGAGTCTTCTATTAGAAAGTCAAAATTTCTAATCAGTGCTGGTCTTTTCATCAAAAATGGTTGAAAGTCCTCTATTTCATTGAATGTCCATTTTTTCCCCTGAAGGATTATACTCAGTTTTGCTGGGTAGGTGATTCTTGGTTGTAATCCTAGCTTCTTTGCCCTCTGGAACATCATATTCCAAGCCCACTGATCCTTTAATTTAAAAGCCACTAAATCTTGTGTTATCCTGACTGTGGCTCCACAATACTTAATTCTTTCTGGCTGCTTGCAATATTTTCTCCTTGACCTGGGAACTTTGGAATTTGGCTAAAATATTCCTGGGGGCTCATCACCTTTTTTTAGGAGGTGATTGGTAGATTCTTTTGATTTCTATTTTACCCTCTGGTCCTATAATAACAGGGCAGTTTTCCTTAATAATTTCTTGAAAGATGATGTCTAAGGGGGCAGCTAGGTGGCACAGTGGATAGAGCACCAGCCCTGAAGTCAGGAAGACCTGAGTTCAAATCCAGCCTCAGATCAAACACTTGACACTTACTAGCTGTGTGACCCTGGGCAAGTCACTTAACCCCAACTGCCTAGAAAAACAAAAACAAAAACAAAAACAAAACAAAAAGATGATGTCTAGACTCTTTTTTTGATCATGGCTTCCAGGTAGTCCAATAATTTTTAAATTATCTCTCCTGGGTCTATTCTCCAAGTTAGTTGTTTTTACAATGAGATATTTCATATTGTCTTCTATTTTTTTCATTCTTTTGGCTTTGTTTATTGTTTCTTGATTTCTCATAAAGTCATTAGCTTCCATTTGCTCCATTTTAATTTTTAAGGAATTATTTTCTTCAGTGAGCTTTTGAACCTCCTTTTCCATTTGGCCAATTCTACTTTTTAAGGCATTCCTCTCCTCATTGGCTTTTTGTACCTCTTTTACCATTTGGCCTAGTCTATTTTTTGAGGTGCTGTTTTCTTCAGTATTTTTTGTGTCTCCTTTACCATTCTGTTAACTCTTTTTTTCATGATTTTCTTGCATCACTCTCATTTCTCTTCCCAATTTTCCTCTATCTCTCTTATTTGATTTTCAAAATCCTTTATGAGCTCTTCCATGGCCTTCCAAGCACTATCCCAAGCTTCAGGGGTTTTGTGCAGCTGTTTTCAGAGATACTTCTAGGGACTTGTAAGTTTTCAGTTCTTCTAAGGTGGTATGATCTTAGGAGAGGTGTGTTTACTTTTCTCCTGGCCTGTGTTCTGGTCTGTGAGTGATCACAAGCACTTTTTTTTGCCCTGGAACTGTGAGGGGGGTCCCTGTTCCACTATGGCTGCAAACTCTGCTGTGCTAGTGCTCCTCCTCACCCTGAGACTACCACCCAGGACTGCCACCTGGATCTGGGTATGGGCAAAGCAACTGAGTCTGCCTCAGTCCTAGCAAAGAGACCCCTGTAATCTCCTTCTGACCAGTTGTTTGATCCCCTTGGTGCCTGTGGGCTGAGAGCTTCAGAAGCACCTGCTGCCACTGCTGATTCAATGGCTCCCAAGGTCTGCTCCTGGTTTGTTGGGGCCAGGACTATGCTGGCACAGCCTGCATTGGATTGTGCTCCCCTCTCACCTCAGTATGAGAGACCTTTCCTCCTGACCTTCTAAGTTGTGGGTTGAGGGGTCTGGAAATTGCTACTGCTTCAACTGATTTATTCACCCCAAGGCCTGCTCATGGTTTACTGGGTGGTATGAACTTTTAAAAGAGACATCTCTCCTTTTTTCTTAAAGAAATGAAAAACTACCAGAGTGTAAAGTTGCATGTTTTATCAAGCAAAATTATTCCTTTATTTTATTTGGGAAGTTTGTATATTCTAAGAGATTTGGTTGGTTTTATGTTCAAGGTATGAATGATGTTTTGAAATGAAATTTAACAATTAAAATCTTTTAGCACATAAAACACTATCAGTTGAGAGAGGGCATCCACCTTCCCATGCACAATAAATAAACATAAAGAAAAAAACTGCAGGGTTGAGGTCATTTCAACTTGTATTAAGTTCTTCTTGATTTCCCGTCCAATTTCAATAGGACAGCAACTGATTTCTTTCAGGTTCTGTGTCTTTGGATTCTTTTACTTGTAGTCATTCTCATTAGCTACTCTTAATGGGCAGGGATTGGTGAGACTCTGAGACCAGGCGAGTGAGTGATGGAGGCTCTGAGGGAATGCCTGTCTGGATCTGGCCCGGTTTCCAAAGACTGTGATTCAGCAAATCAAGAACAATTCCTTAAAGCAAAGAGAGTTTTCATGGGGCATAAGGTGTGACTTCCTGGTAGCAGAAGGGGAGAAAAGGGTCTAGATTTAAGAGGAAGGGTCTGTTGAGGCCTGCAGTGGGGGGTATAAGGAAGGAGAGGAAGGAGGGGTGAGTAGAATCATGAGGCATCTGTGGATGTGGCTGTGGAGAGAAGGGAAAGGCATGTTTGGATTGAAAAGTTTGGATCTGTATTATACAGGTCCTGGCAGTAAACGGCTGGGCATTGATGGAGACCGAGAAGCCATCCCACTTACACTACAGATTATCTACAGCAAGGTAAGGGGTGACCCTAAAATTTTCTCCACCCTCTAAATTCTGAGCCAATGCAAGAATTGGGAACTGCTTCTCTCTCTGACTTTTCTTTGAGCAGAGATTTTATTCTGGGCCATGCCCTTTGCTTTTTCTGGATTTTAATTCCTGAGTCTAGAAAATTTCTAGTTCCATCTCTACATATGTGACCTTGACCAAATCCCTTCATATATCTGGGTCTAAAATGCAGGAGTTAGACTAGATTGTCTTTAAGCTTCCTTTAAATCATCACCTTCTATAGTTTTATGACACTGAGGTAAAAATAACTTAAGAAATTTACAAAATAATATTAATATATGTGACTACAAACTAAATACATAAGTGTTTAGTGAAGAGGCCTCAAACAAGAAAAACTTGCTGGGAAAATATCACTGCTGGATCACTATTGGATTAAACCACTTACATTCATACACCATAATGGTCAGGATCATTATCTCTGTTTGTAAATGTTAACTGGCGATTGGGTGTGCATTTGGAGTGGGGCTGAAGGGCCTTCTTGGAGCTGAGCTTGGCTACTTTTATCTGGTTTTATAGGGGGCCATTAGTGGGCGGAGCCGCTGGAACAATATGGAGAAAGTATGTACTTCTGTCAACCTTAACAAAGCCTGCAGGAAGTTGGAGGAGCTAGGTAAGTGAAACTGGATTGAGTTGGGGGTAAGAGTCATGTACTTGGCAGGGTCAGTGGCTGCTAGGAGTCAACTCCTCAGTTCTCTGGGAGCCAACCCTAACTCTCTTTCTCTTTCACCGCCTATTGTACATTGACCAGGAGCAAAGGGTAGCTCCAGAGCATGAGCTCGTGACTTGAGAATTCTTTCTTGTTTAGATTCTAACATGGAATCTCTGACCTTGACCCTGACTGAAGTGGTGAAGAGACAGAACTCTAAGTCCAAGAAGAGCTATAACCAGGTATTACCATCCTTTGTCTCTTTGGCCTCCATTCCACTCTAACTCTCATACACAGGTGGCCAGCAGAAGTCTGGGGGACATCAGGGAATGAAGTGAGAGAAAGGAAATGAAGTCAAAGTCATATATGTAATCATGTGTAGGAAAGGAAATATGAAGGCACATGTGGGGGAATGATTTGTAAGCTGTCTGTTTTGTTGGAAAATCTCCAGGTCAAAGACTAAAAGAAGTTCAAGCTCAGGAAATTTTGAAAATTTTGGTTAGCTCCAATTTTCTGTTTTCCTGCCTTTCTTTCTAAAGGCTTTAAAGGTACACCAGGACCCAAGAGCAAAGAGAGAGAGAGAGAGAGAGAGAGAGAGAGAGAGAGAGAGAGAGAAACCTTTGGGTCAAGTTGTCAGTCTCATTCTTTCTGGCCCTGATTCTTTGGACTGTATGTCAAATAGGTAGATGAGTCTAGGTTTCCATGGAAAAAAGTTAGGCAGATGCCCATAGAAAGATGAGGGGATCTTGAAGAAAGAGAGGTTAAGTCAAGGATCCCTGATTGGGCTTTGGCAATTCCACCTCCCTTTCCCCTGACCCTGGCTTGGTTATTGAGTCACTGATCCAAAGCTTCTCCACAGATCAACACATCACAGATTAAAGTGGACAAGGTACAAATCATTGGCTCCAACAGCTGCTCCTTTGCTGTTTGTCTGGATCAGGATGAGCGAAAAATCCTCCAGAGTGTGGTCAGGTAATGGAAGAAGGGGTCCATAACTTTGCCCCAGAAAAAACTACAGCTGTGTGTTGGGGGAGGAGTTGGTTGCATGTGCCCCACGTCTCTCCTTTCTCCCAAACTAACCCATCTCTCACAACTGAGTTGGAAGAGGGGTGGGACTAGAGGAGGTTACTGTCAAATCCTTCCCTGAGCCAAGGCCTCCCCAACAGGTGTGAAGTCTCTCCCTGCTACAAATCTGAGAACAGCAGCCTTTGCTCACAGCCCAAGAGACTTTCTTTCCTACCACCTCAAAACTCACCTGACCTCTGCTCCTTCCTGTGTTTACCCATCATGACCTTCAGTGGAGCTCTGCCCTAACACAGCAAACTCAAGATCTTCATCTGGACTTGATACATCACAAGGAAGCATGGACCCCCGCCTCCCAAACTAGAGCCCTCCCAGTCCAGAGTGCCACACTGGCAATTATGGCTTTTCCTACAGAGAATGCAATTCATTCCTGATGATGTTTTTGGTTTTTTCCCAGCAGGACAAAGACAGAAACCTTTAGCCCTGTAGGGAGAGATTGTCTTCTGCTCATAAAAGTATGCTTTATATGGGAGGGGGAAGAGGAGGTATGAAGATGGTAAGGGTTAAGTCCATCTTTCCTTCTATGTAGGTGAGTGACTTTAAGCAAGTCATTTAGCCTCTCTCTGGGCCTTAATGCTCTCACCTATTAAATGGAGAATAACTTACCCCTCCCTAAAGCTAGGCACCGGAACATATAATCTGGCTCTAAAATCTATGATTTTTGTCTCGGGGCCTGGCTGTTCCTAAGTTATGTGCCTTGGATGTTGTATAGCCTTTGAATGCTAGTGCTCTCTTCTTTTATTCCAGACCCTGGGTTGAGAGGCTGAGAAGGAATGGAGAACAAATAGGTGGGGAACTGTGTCCTAGAAGGTTATTCAGGCTCCACCCCACTGCCTTTTCAGCACTCTTATTCTCTGAAGAAATGCATATCGAGGTTCTAACAAGTGCCTAGCATTATTTTAAAGGTTGGAGAAGACATGAGATATGTAAAGAGTTTACATTATACTTGGAGAGACAAGATAATACATGACATACTTTGTGTGCAACAGTAGATTAATAATATGGTTAAATGTATAGTTAATAATTAAGAATATAGTGAAGAATTAATGGCACCTCAGTCTAACTATAAACAACTCACTATAGTGGGGAGTTTAGTCTAAGGCAGCTCCATCTTAGCCTGATCTATGGAGATTTATTAGAAAGCACCAAAAAAAGATCTTGTTATACTAAAGCTTCACCTGTATCAAAGTCCTGTACCATGGTTCCAGAGCTTTGTATTTAGGTTCTATTGTACTGTATCGCTCTTATGTACAAAGAGTCTACATAATGTACATTATGTTCCTTCCTCATAGGTGCTTTTGGTAGAAAAGGGACTCCAAACCAGGATGGTTAAACCTGGAGAAAAGAAGTATTTGAAGGACTATCATGTGAAAGAGGGTCTGAGAGAATAGTCTTGTTTTGTTTGACCACAGAAGGCAGAACTAGCAGCAATAGGTAGAAGTTGTTTAGAGGCCAATTTTAGCATGATCTAAGAAAATGTTTCCTACCAGAACTCTACATATAATAGGTACTTAATAATGTTTTTTGTATTTCATCGTACGTACAGTAGAAACATGACATACAAGTCCTACCTTTGATATTTCCTGACTGGGGGACCCCTAAGTAAATCATTTAACCCCTCAGTGCCCCCAGGTAACCTCTAGAACTTTTTTTTTTTGGTGAGGCAATTGGGCAATTGGGGTTAAGTGACTTGCCCAGAGTTACATAGCTAGTAAGTGTCATGTGTCTGAGGGCAGATTTGAACTCAGATCCTCCTGACTCCAAGGCTGGAGCTCTATCCACTGTGCCACCTAGCTGCCCCTTCTAAAACTCTTAAGTTGCACAGCTGTTGTCAATCTTCAGTTGAGGGAATTTCCACATAAGGAGTTCCCTACACCAAGGAGATCATAGGTCCATTTAAAAAAAAAAAAAAAAGACCATCCAGAAGTAGACTCCCTGGGATGGTAAGGGCTTATAGATCTCTGGTGGACTTCATGCAGAAGCTACATAACTTGTCAGAGATGATGTAGAAGAGATCGTTTCCTAGGTATGAGTTGGACTAGAGAGTCTGCAAATTCTGATGGAATTTAAAATTAAAAATCCATCCCTTACTTGAAGAGATAAATCTTTAAAGTGGAGAGTAGGTTTTAGCTAGGTAGAAAAAAGGAGGAGGCAGGACAAGAGTAGGGAGGAATAATGTGAGCAATAGCCAGGTACAGGATTTCCTCTCCAATTCTGAGTAATTTTTATGGCTGTTTAATTCAACCATTCTTTATTAAAGTGTCAAGTTTATGCCAAGAACTGTACTGGTGCTAGAAATACAAATATGATATGAATATGATACCCAATCTCTTCACCCCTCCAACCTTCTTATTCTCTCTGGGCTCTCACTCAAGCAGTTTGCATTCATTCTGGACAGGTCTGGCATTCCTGGAAGAGCAACCCACTGCTATAATTCATTCTCTCAGGAATCTAAAGGTTACCCTATTGGGAAACTAGGGTACTCCTACCGTACACTATAGCTGCTAAGCCCCCACCATTGTGCTTCCCATTTAACAAAGCAACCAATTTAACTCCATTAACTCTTAATTAGAAACACTAGACTCAAAGTGAAGCAGGAATAATAACATAACATTCCACCAAGGAGCACACACACAGTGTTCACGTCGTGGATACTACCATGGTGAGCACAAAGTTAAGAGAACCATAGCAAAGAGGCACTGGTATAGGGAATGAGTATGCCTAGAGCAACTAACAATTCTGGACTTTGGACGTTTTCTTTTGGGAACAATTCCTACAATTCATTGATGGGTGGGGCCACTGATGGCAGCTCCATTTGAGTTAATCCTTTTCTAAGCTTTCAAGGTAGCATTATGTTCTTTCCACAGAAACAGGGACCTTGAGCCTGGGATCTTCAGAGCTTCTTCATGTCTACTCTTTTGACTAGACTGAGGAGTTTCCATTTGTCAGACTGTAAGGGACAGTGCAGGAAAAAGCAAAAGGAAAAACAAAAACCTTTCTTCCTTGAATTAGCCCTTCTAAGCAGTAGATGTGAATTGAGTGAATAAAGCATTTATTAAATACTATTAAATACTATGTGCTAAGCACTGGAGATAGTAAGATAATGCAAGTAAAGTAAGTCATGGAAACATAAGAGAGTTAGTCCCTGTTCTCAAGAAGCTCAAATTCTATCTAAGATGGCAGTGCAAGTTCTAAGGTCTCTTCCCAGCCTCAACTAGAAGTCTCTCCTGAGTTACTGGTCCAAAATAAGGTCTCTTAATTAAGATCACTTACTTCTATCACATGAGGATAAACCAAAATCCCCATTTCTGCCATCTATACCACAACTAGGGAATATACGTTTGTCCCAATGTCACCAAACTGGATGAAACCAAACAGGTGGTTACCAAGTGGGAAACAATTTTCCAGTTATTACTTTCAAAGTACTTACTTCAGTCATATGCAAGTTAGATGCTGGAAAACTGGACACTGCAGTCATCTTTAGGTGCCTTTTCTCTGTTGCGCTGCTTTTAAAGTGTTTGTCTCAGAGCTGTCCTAATCTGAAAGAGGTATACCTTTACACAAAATTAAAAATTACATACTCTGTACTGAAGTTACTTATAGCTTGATGTGGGGTGGGAACAAAGGATGCCATGCATACAAATCACTATCTCAAAATAAATAAATAGGAGAGATATGACAGTGCCAGGGGTGGGGAACTTGCTGCAGGTTCCCCAACCCTGGTGTAGACAATGAAATTCAATGAAGCAATAGTCACTTATAGTGTGTGTTGGGGATGGGGTTAGGGAAAGTTTTTTGGAGAAAGCTATACTTGGAAAGAGAGAAGGATGTCTATAGGGGAGGGAATGAGGTAATCTATTTTAGGCAAAGGAGACTGGCCTGTGCAAAGGCACAGGTGTAAGCACAGGATCTGATTGGGCAAGAGATCAGTACATGTGGCCAACTATCGAGTGCACAAGGCAGTACCATGAAAAAGAGTCTCTGTCCCTCACTTCAGTCTTCCATCCCTTCTCATCTTGCTGTTTTGATAGGGTACCAAGTGAAAAGGTGCTATCTGAAGTCCTCACAAGCCTAGGGTTCAAAGTCTGGGAAAGATGCTCCTGAAATGGTTGCTTTTGATATCAGTACTAGTTAAATTACATTGAATCCACTTCTGGAGGATGAGGTATGTAAAGAATCAAGAAAGATAAGAAAAACAAAAGAATTCTGATGTGCCGTTCCCCCTCTGCCTCAACCCCAAACCCATAAGCAAGATATCATCCTAACTTTACATAGTAGACCCAGGGTTTAGAGAGGAAAGTCTTAGATTGATGACTTCTGGGACAGATGAAAACATCCAGCTAGTTCCTGACCTTTTGTTTGTCCAGTCCTGGGTATCCTTGAGCAACCTAACTGCCTCTTGAAAATTTGCATTGGAGCTTTGGGATTCCATAGAGGCAACATGGTGTAAGGGAAAGAACATTGGATTTGGAATCTAAAAATCCAGGTTCAAGTACCAGATCCATTACTTGCTATCCTTGTGACCTTCCTTGGATAATCCATTTCAGTTCTTTGAACTTCAGTTTCCTTGTCTGTAAAATAGAGATAATAATATTTGCACTACAAACTTCACAGGGTCATTGAGCTAAAAAGAGCTAAACTATCCTCTCCCAAGATCAAGGGAAAAATTAGAAATCCTCCGCCATTCACTAGTGAAAATCCAATCCTAGAATTCTACAGCACCTAGTTCATTCCTTTTCTCTTCTGTTTTGGTCCTGTCACTGATCACAGTGTGATATTTCATTGGTCCCTCAGGAAGGTGAAAAGAAAGAAGGTTTAAGTTATTCAGAACCATTCTCCTACTTTGTAACTACTTCATCAACATCCCGTTTTACATGCAGTGTGGTATGGGGAAAAAGCAATAATTCTTGAATAAGAAGATCTGTGTTCAAATACTTCCTCTGATGACTACTATTTATGTGGCCTTGGATAAATCGTTTAACCTTCCTTGGTTTTCAGTTTCCTCATCTGTAAAATGAAAATGTTTGACTAGATGGCTTCTGAGGCTGTACCATCGTATATGCATTAGTAGGCCAAACCTACTAGCCAGAATGGAATTACAGTTTTGTCCTGAAGCTCTCTGCCACTCCAGGCCAAAACCGCTACCTTGAACTGTGCTGTGGTGGGTTTCTTCTCCCCTCCTTTTTTTTGGGCGGAGGGGTAGTTGTGAACATGAAATTCAGATGGCTGTGCCGCATGAAAAACAGACACACACAGAGCAACGACAAAAAAAAAAATTCAGATAGGCATAATAGTTATACTACATTATAATTTGGCATAAATGTTAAGTAGTTTGCTCAATTCAGTTCAACAGCCACTTGTTAAACATTGTTATGTGCCAGGCACTAGGTTTGGGGGCTGCAAAGATAAAATGTTTCACAAACCCTGCCTTCAAGCTGCTTATGGTGTAATAGGAGGAATCATTCACACAAACATGATACAAGGTAGAGTGTGGTTAGTGGCAATAGAGAGATCCGAAACACTCTAGGAAAATTTTGATAAGAAAGAAATATTTTTTTTTAAGAATTCTTTCATCAAGGTGGCGGGTGCGGGGGGGGGGTTGGTATATGGATAATTATCTTGAAATAAGGTTTCATGATGGAAGATGGTGCCTGAGCTAAAAGAAGAATATCAGCTAGGCAGAGATGAGGAGGAAGCAAGTTCCATTCCCAGAATGTGGCCATCAAGAATGTGATGAATCTGGAAAATGCAAGATAATGCTAAGAAATAAGCTAATAGTTTAGTTACAGTAAAAGACAGAGTTCCTGGGTATGTAAAGATGAATAATTAATAAACATTTATTAAGTACCTACTATGTGTCAGGCTCTATGCTAGAGATACAAAAACTGTCCTGTTTTCATTTATGGTCTACACTCACAACAACCAATTGCAACCCTAATTCAAGTGCGTGTCACATTTTGCCTGATCTAATATAACAGACTCTTAACTGGTCTCCTTAGGGGTTTCCAGTCTCCACCACTGGTCTTTAAATCCAGGTAATCTTCTTAATATACCACTCTCTGATAATGCTAACCCTGAATTCAAAAATTACCAGTGGTCTGTTGCCTACTGATTAAACTATAATTCCCAACCCCCACCACTCTGACATTGCTGGTCCTCATTATTTGAGCATAACCCATATTTTCAGCCTTTTCTCATTTTCCTTCTCTTCATACTGTGTTCTAGTCAATCTGGACTACTCTGCAACATCAGTTTTCTTTCTGCCCCATTCTGTTCCTGTCCCCTGTGTGTGAAATTGGTCCTTTCAAACTCCACTCAAGGCCCAATTCACTCAGGTGTCATCTCCTCTCTGAAATTTTCTGGGGTCTCCATTTAGCTCAATGAAAGTAATTCCTCAAAAATCTTATAAGCACTTTGCATGAACCACTCCTTGGCATTTGCCTCACTCTTTTGTTTCATATTTATATCTTGCCCTGACCCCTTTTTAGATTGTAATGTCTGTGACAGCCAGGTGTGCGTCTGTTTCCAGAACTTGCCAACTTCTCGTGCATGCGCACGTAATAAATATTCTTAAATTAAATTCAATGTTCATTCGTGTAATGCACAGTTCAGTAGGCACATTAAGTGGGTGAAATTGCTCCCATTGTTGCTGCTCAGGTCTCCTGCTTTTCAGTTGT